TGCTACCCCCAAGATAACATCTGATATAAGAGCTACACATTTTTCATTTTCTGTCCTAAATACCATTTCATTAAATTCTCACGAGTCCTTGTGCATATTGGATGTAAATAAAAGTTTCAACCGGAAGCATTTATTTTAATTTAGTCAATTTATTAGACAAAAACTGACTAGTCATTTTTTAGAATATAAATAGTATAATGTCGTTTGGGTTTGGTTTGGTTTAATACATTTTATTATAAATACTTAGCCAACAAAATCAATCAGAGAAAGAGAGAGAGAGAGAAAAGGAGAGAGAGAAAGAGAGAGAGATAGATAGACATGTAGGTTTATAGGTTTGTGTATATAAATAAATACACGTTTGCATGTATTAATATAAAAGGTCTGGCTGATATTAGGAACAGTAAAAATATCGAGGCAGACAGTTTTAGTGTTCGACGACACGCACACCTCAGGTCAAATCATGCCGCCATAAATAGATACATTGATGGACATGCACTTTCATTCATTCATTCATTCATACATTCATTCATTCATTCATTCATTCATTCATTCATTCATTTTTTTATTCATTCATTTGTGTTCATTAGTTCATATATTTAATGTTTGATTAATTAAATCAGATGTTTTTTGTTTGTCCCTTTGTTAGCTTGAATAACGTTTAATAAATAATAGTAATTCGAAAGCAGGCTACACTGGCTCAGGAGAAACAAGAGCAGATTCACCAAAAAATTCTCAAAAAAGGGCTTTTGAAAAACCCAAAAAATGAAAGTGTGACGATGTGGCTGAAGATTTAAAAAGAATTGAAATAACAATTCTTGGATTAACGACAGGAAAAATAAGGAAGTCGCTGGAAAATGTTGTTGCTGACCGCGAAACGTAGAGAGATGTCATGCAGAAATAAATAGCTGGGATCAGCTCAGAGATGTTTACAGGACATGACATAAAATGACATGACATGACATACGTCTAAAGCTGAATATTGAAAAGAAATGCAAGTGCTTATATAACCTGTGTGACGTTCGACGCATGTATCGCCTTACTATGCAGTGGCTGATTAAATTTTTCTGGCTTCAAACAAAAAAAAATCATTCTTAGTTAATTCTAATTTTTTTAAAATATCATGTCTGAAAAATTAAAGATATATTTAGATTCAGAAAAAACTTAATCAAATAACGCATCTATTTATGATCGTACCTTCGCCTTCCGGACATGAAGATGGATGAAGCGCGTGCATCAAGGATCCTGCAGAATTAAAAAAAAAAACAAACACGTAACGAAATTTGAAAAATATTCACGCAAACTTCTTGCGGACAGGTAAGTCTCTTACAAACGCAAGAGAATTACACAACAAAAATTAACCAATTTTATTTAAAAACTTTTGAACACATCAACTTGAATAATGTAAATATTAATTGCAAAAACCATAAATACATGAGAATCTACCAAAAGCAGTACAACTTGTAAAATACCTAAAATCATAAAAATCAAACAGACACACGACTTAAAAAAAACAATTTACCGAAAAACACACAAACACAAAATGCACATAAACATACAAACATTGAAGATATACAAACATGCAATTCATACAATGCATACAAAATGCACAATGTACTGCATACACATAAATATACAACTTATAAAAACTTCTAAACACACATGGGATTAAATTTTTGTAATTTATATATGCGCTTTTAATGCACACAAACATACAATGCATACAAACATACAATGAAAACTTACAAACACACAATGCATACAAACACACAATGCATACAAACACAAACCAAACATATACAAAGTATGCAAGATGCGACGAACGCTAAACACACAAGCAGTGAAGTGAACCAACATAAACATGCTTAGGCTGCCTACATGAGACTTATGCATCACCACCTGCCAATTTTTAGAATTTCTTTCAATATAAAGACCGTTAAACAAGTAGAATGATGTGGATGTTTATGTTTGTTTTGTTGCTTGTGTTTATGTTTGTGTTTATGTTTGTGTTTGTGTTATAGAATGTTTGTATGCCGGTCTTGGCTCAGATGATATAATGATGAGTTGATGTGTTAACAGGATCCGAATGTGATGAAAAATCCAATAATGCAAATATTTACGCTCTATAATGCAAACATGTTGGCTGGCTGGAATAAGTTTGAAGAAATAATGTTCACCCGGCGATCAATAGTAATTTCTTCTCTTAAATATTTGTTTTCTTTCACTCTTTCCTTCTCTCTCTCTCTCTCTCTCTCTCTCTCTCTCTCTCTCTCTCTCTCTCTCTCTCTCTCTCTTTCACTTTGTCAACATCACAAATAAACTGCAAGCACACATACGTACGAGCAAAACTTTACAAACTTTAGTATCTTAAAAATCACACTAAATAAATATGGAACATTCGAAATTTTAAATTTGGAAATCTGAATTGTCGAAATGAAATCTCTTAGAAACTGTTAGCAAAATTGACCTGTCAACATATAAAATCCAATTTTCCGTGAATGAAAAACTATTGTGGACAAAAGACGCTCCAGCTCTTAGAAAATTTTCAAAAAAGTGTTTTACCGGAAAAAAATCTAAAAAAAAATATCTATTCCAATGATGAATTTTGCACTTTAGTGCAACCAAACTTTTTTCTCGCGGATTTGACGTCGTATTAATTTGATAACGCCAACAAATGTTCCTCCTCGTCATCTGTCATGTATTGAAAAAATATTTTTATTCCAGATCACTGGCAATGGAAAAAAAACTTGTGTTATTCATCCGTCAACAATGTGATACTGCTGATGTATGTAGCGACTTCAATGAGACCTGATTGACATGTTGTTGACGTTCCGTCAGGAATCTTTATAATTTGTTTTGATGTTCGCATTAGCGATGTGTTTTTTTTTGCTTGTATATATAAGAATTTTGGCTGCAATCTTTCGTTACATTTTTTTTAATTGGAAAAAATTCACACAGACATAGTCGCTACAAAATTGTTATGTACCTTTTACTTTAAATATAGTTACTTCAAACACCACAATTTTCAAAGCATGAACTGTTTTAAGTGATTTTTTAACTGGAGTTAATAATTTTACAATTTAAAAAATCTCAAATGAAAAAAAAAAATAATAATAACCAGAAACAGAAATATAAAACATTATAGTACACACATACAAAAATACCTGGGCGTAAATGAAAGACAAAAACAAAAATAAATAAATATAAACACATACAATGATAAGAAAGACATGTCCTTTTATTAGAAGAGCAGAAAAATTGGATGGCGAGTTGAATGAAAAGTAAACAACAGACCCACTGAGTTTGTATGCAAGTATACAAATTTGTCTGTTGATGTTTGTATGTTTGTGTTTGTATATTGATGATAGTATTTTGATGATTGTATGTTAATGTTTGTATGTTGATGTTTGTATGTTGAGGTTTTTATGTAAATGTATGTGTTTATATTTCTAGTTTTTGTTAAACTAGATTTTTTTGAAATTGTATCAAGTTTTTAAATTATTTACTCATAATCAATTTGACGTGTTTTTAGATAGATTTCATTGTTACAAGACTCAATCTTTGGATAAGTGTACCAGGCTTATACCTGCCGTCATTCACACGTGAATCCCCCATTTCAAATTCACCATACCTGTAATTTTAAAACTTTATGTATGAAACAAAAAACAAAACGTGATTATATTAAAATAGAAACAACATCACATCAATATAACCTACATGAACACATTAAAATTACAAATCTAAACACATTTTTTTCAAACATTTTCAAGAAAATGTTAAATAATTTTAACAAGAGGACAACGCTAAACGTAGCAGGCAACTCACATAAAATGTCATATAACCGCAGAAACAATCATCAACTTAAACGATTAAATCTTAATAAATGGAAATAAATATTTCAGCTAATTTCCATATTTATTGAATTTTTACTTCAAGTTCGGAATATAAAGACATAATAGGTATATAGTGGTATGTATATATTCAAAAAATATCGGAATATAAAGACATGTCTGGCAAACTCATTAAAATACACGAGCACGAATAGAACGCAAACATTGTTCATTATAGTTGAATGCAAATAACAAACAAATAAACAAACAGACAAACATGCACTTCGGAAAACAAACAAACACATCAGCATATGAAAACACACGCAAACTCGCATCATAAACGCTTATAAAAAAAATCAACAGACATAAAAATGTACAACAGATATAATAAAGCATATAAAATCTAAAAAACAAATACAAGCATACAAAACATGCATACAAAACATACATACAAACGTAGAAAACACACATTCCTATTAAAAAGCATACAAATACCTACAAAAATACAAACATACAAAACAAACATACATACATACTAACTAGGCATACATACATACAAACAAACAAACATACAAAGCATACACACAAGCGTATTGTACATATCATCTATTCCTTTACTATACCACCTAGTTTGGTCTTATTGATTTCCTTCAACCATGCCTACACGTGTGGTGACACTGGCGACGAGGACGATGACGGTGTGATGCAACATAATGCGATGTCATTTGATGTGATACGTTTTTTGTATGGTGGGATTTGGTATAGTGTAATGTGATTTTGTGTTATTTGATGTCTTGTGATGTGATTTAGTACGATGTGATGTAATTGTATGCGGTAGCGAATATATTTGTGACGGTTATAGCAGTATGTGACGTGATAGATAGATGTAATGTAACTGCATAGGATGTGATGGAATGACGTACAACAACGAATGATGAACATTTTCTGAATTAGTTGTAAAACGTTTGGATGTGTCATACTAATGTTTAATGTCTCCTCTCTTATTTGATGTAATGTGGCATCATATAATGTTATGTGATGTTTTCAATGTGTCTTTTTGCTATATAATATAATAACATTCAAACTGGGTTGATTAATCGTTGCTACATTAATTTACTTTTACTCAATTTCTTGCGTTAAAGTTGTCAAAAAAAGTTGGTAAAGTCTCCAGATTTTTCAAATTTAATATGCGAATTTTACTGAAATTGTGGTTGCAGATTAGAGTGAAGTTTGATGTAACGATGATTTTTTGCTACGTTATGCCATGTCAGGTACGTAATGATGTGTTTATAAGATTATTTGATGGTGATTAGTTGATTTTTTAATTTTCAATACTTCGCAAATGTCGGATTCGAGTTAATCTTTTGTTCAGTTTCATAGTTTTAATGTTTCAGAACCGGCGTTCTACTTCGTTTTTTTCTTCCTACTTTGAAATAGTTAAAAAATAGTGGAAGACCTAATTTAAAGAAGCAGCAGCACTAGTTCATGTCGGTTGGTGCATGCTTGCGGTTTGTCCTGTTTTGTGTTGTGTATATAAACTCCTGTGAGCGATTCGGTGCTAGGAGGTTGTTGTTGTTGTTGATGTTGTTGTTGTGGTTGTTGCTGTTGTTCGTGCCATTGTAGTTGGTTACTTGAAATCAGTTTTCGTTTTGTTGTTGTTGTTGTTGTTGCTGTTCGTGCCGTTGTAGATGGTTACGTGAAATCAGTTTTCGTGTTGTTGTTGTTGAGTCTTTTCTTTGCGCATTGAATGGGTGGGTGTTAAATATTCGTTGTGCTTATTTTGTGCTGCAGTTGGCTGGATTAAAACAACGTTTTACTGGAAATATGCTATATAAAATGGTGTAATTGGCATAAATAGACATAATCAATAAATAAATACAATTTTCACATGTTTAATTTTTTTCATCTTAAAATTTATAAATAAAAAAAATAAAATACATAAAGATCAATTTTGTTTATTTTTTTTGCCAATTTTTATCCTCAAAAACAAACTCTGTATTACCTGCTTGCGTTCTGGTCCAGTTTTGTTTTTGTTTTCTAACCAACATCTACATTTTTAATATTCAAAGCGAAGTCAAATTTCAAAATCTAAACATGTTCAATTGTTTTTGTTTGTTATAAATTATTGATGTGGATAGAACAATGTTTGGATAAAAAATTATTTATTTTTGGAAAAAAAAAATTCGAACCATTTTTTATCAATGGGAGATTTAGTTTTATTACATAGCATATGTTTTAATAAACATTATGAGATGAGTTATCAACATTTTCCTCTGAATAAGGCTAATTAAGTTGATTTAAATACTTTTATATTTCGTTTACAGCTTCGTTTATGGTTTGCATGCTATTTCATGCTCCTTTAATATTTCCCTCATATTCATCATTATATTTCAATGTGATGAAAATCCATTATAACTACAAAAACGTTATAGATACAACTTCATATGATTAAACTTATACCATGACAGTTTTATTTTGTGGTCATAACAAAATATTCGTCTATTTATTTGAATTTTTCTGTAATATAATAAATAAAAAAAGCTATAAAATAAAATAATAACAAATAAACAAACAAAAATAAAATAATGGAGACACGATGGACAAAAACAAAAACCCAGACAGAAATAATTTTCATCATTTTCAACGTTCACTTGTCCTCTTTTACCTCATGTGTATTCATTACTTAGGAAGCAAAAACATTTTATTTCAATGCAAGCTGCGTATTTTATCCAGTTCATCTGTTAGCTAATAATGCAGCTTTATTTTTGTCCTATGATTTAAAATTTTTTATGACAAAAAATTCTGAGCTTCGAGATAAAAAGATTGCGAATATGTGTCCAGTTACATTTGCAAGAACATTCTAACTTCTAAATTAAGTCTTGACATTCTATGTGCCTTGATTATAGAATTCTTTATAACATATTTTTAAAAACACAAACTTTTTCATTTTAATTTTTACCCGTTATAAGAAAAAAGATCAAACATCGTCAAATGAACAAATGAATGACATAAACAAAAAATTCGAAGATTATGACGCTACACTGATCACGTGATTATACGATCAATTGAACAAATCATCACGTGACCACATGGGATCACGTGAACACACAATCACGTGAACACACTCTACATACTTGTAACCCATTTGTATTGCTTTGCACTTGTATGTAGAAGTTTGAGTTTGTATAATATTGCGATTCCAAAACGAGAAGTTTAGCCTGAGAAAAATTTTTCTTGTTTTGAATGTTTTTGTGTAAACTTGCCATCAATCAAATTTTTATCGACTTTGCGTTTTTGTGATTTCATTTTTTTTCTATCTTATTTAAAATATTTATAGTTGAAATATCTTTCCGCACGATACAGAAGAGTGCATGTGCATGTTTCTACATGAGCGTGTATGTATATATTTTGTGTGTTCATATGTGCATAAGTACGGTGACACGAATTTTTTCAAAATATTGGGTTGGAAAAGTTGTTATACGTACCTTTCTTCGTACAACGATTTCTGTGGATATTGTAAAAACGTTTCTGTAGCCTATTCATTTTTTGATATTTGTGTGAAGTAAATATGATGTGCAAAATTGCGTATCGTGCAGATGTTTATGTGTATAAGTGTCTATGCATGTTTGTCCATATGTGTCTGTGTATATGTGTTTGAATATGTGTGTTTGGATATATGTGTTTGGGTATATGTATGGGTATATGTTTGGGTATATGTGCATAAACATATGAGTTTAGATATATGTTTTGGATACATGTGTTTGTCTTATAAAGAAGAGTTTTGTCCGCATAGCTGTATTAAACTGTACAATGTAGTACATGCATCTTAATTTGTTAGTGTGAATTTGTATGTACACACATGCCTGAGTACAGATAGTTATTTATATTCGCTTTCTATTGAAGGTTTTGTACTTCTTCCACTCGTATATCTCCATTTTGTACCCTTTTGTTCATTCTTTTAAAAATTGGTGTTTATTTGTTCCTTTTTTAACAATATATAATAAAGTTTTTTTCGTAAAAATACATGCTTGGCTGGGTTTTGATTTTTTTTTTGCTTGAGATTTATGTGTATTTATGTGAACAGTTTTGCTGTTTGTTCATATTTGTATAAGCTGTCATGTAGGTTATACATACGTACGTACATCCTCTTCAGCGTATTACCATGTGCATATCTCCGCGTGTTTGTATTCGTTAAGCGTTTAATGTTTGTAATGTTTGTAATGCAATTTGTACTCATTCGTGCTGGTAAGTTTTTATTTGTCTGATTTTGTGTTAGTTGCATATTATTGTATTTGCGGTTGTATTTGCGATTGTATGTGGCAGGCATCCAAGTGTACGTCGATCGGTAGCATTGGTTGGTTGGATGACACTGTTTGGAGTTTAATGAGACGCTGAAGATGGCGATGACGTTGATATTGATTGAGAATGGCATTCCAATGATGAGGAGACTTACTCACTCATTAACTCTTTCTTCATTTGCAAATCGTGTTGTAGTGCTAGATAAATCAGATAAACCTCCAATAAGGACATGACGAATGTTTTCTTTTCACCACCCATTCCTACATCATAATTTTTATTTCAAACCTACAAGAATAAACAAAAAAAAAGATTACAAAAATATAAACATCATATATTACAAAAATATGTAAAAAATATAATACTATACCAGGAAAAATAAAATTCTCACGATATTTCATGAATCGTTGAAAGAACAAAAATAAACAAAAAACTCATAATTGCATCCAGGATAGAGGCTCATCATTGTCAGTCTGTTGTGATAACATTTTAGAGAAAAAAATTATTTTCAAATAAAAACCAACGAATAAAAAAATAATTGAAAAAAAATGTCAAAACAATGTATCTAAACTGGAAGGACATATGTTTTAAAAATTTAAAAAAAATTTACATATACGATGAAAAATTTGAAATAATTTCAGGTATGTACGAACTGTATTGACGGTTGAAACATCATGATGGTAGCACCTGTTTGGTATCAATATATTTTTAATTATTATACATGCAATCTGTATATTCTTTTATAAAAACGAGAAACAATGGTTCTTAAAAAATAAAAAAAGCAAAATTATATAGAAGGAATGAAATGTCATTTTGTTATTTTATCTTTCTGAAGACGTTGATTAAAAACTTCGTACGTGATTGTGTTGCCTGAAATTATTGCCTCAAAACATATTCTATTACATTTTTGGAGGGAATTAAAAAATTTTTTTTCATAAACATTTTTCTGACGTTTTACATTTTTTGTCCAATAGTGAAGTGATAATTTTTTTGGTTATAATACATTTATAAAAATCCAATGATATATGGTTAATGATATGTGTCACTTTCAATAAATTTACTAGAGCTATCAGGAGGTAACTTGAGGAAGAAGAACTAATAAACAAAATATCTAAATCCACGATGTATGTTTTTGCGGAAAGTATATCAAATCATCCATATGGTATATCTACAGTACATTCATCATGTATGTTTATTCAAGAATGTATCGAATCATCCAACTGATCCTATGTACATTCCTCATGTATGATCTTACAAAGAATGTATCAAATATTCTTTACACGCGTTTAAGCTAATAGGCAAGCAATAAACCTGATGGGATAATGGTGATTCCTTTACAATCTTTATAAAAATAATAAACTGATATAAAATTTGTATAAATCAGAAGAACTAACTATCAGATGAAAGTATTTTTTGCTAAAAGAAATAAATAGTTTCAAAAATAGATTACAAGATGGATGGCGTGACAAATGCGACGCAGTACGGATAAGGCTGTGCGTGGTGGAGAATCCTTATCAATTGGATAAATGGATGAAAGCGAATCGTGCTTATTTTATATCTGAAACTATTCCCCAATTTCGATTTGCGTGCGTGTGTTTGTTTGTGCGTATGTATGTGCACGTGTGTGTATGTGCTTGTGTGTTTGTGTTTCAATTTTTTTTTATTTATTAATCATAATCTTATCGATTTCTCTCTCAAAAAAAACTTTGGAATAGCGTAGGTGCAAATCTAATACTCAACTATATCAACCACTGCTATTGCATTACTCATTATCACCAGAATCTCTTAATTAAGCCTTTGTCATTATCTCCATCATCGTCGTCATCTTCATCATCTTTGCTTACGTTATCATCATCATCATTTTTATCATCATCATCATCCTCCTCCTCATCATCATCGTCATCATCATCTTTACTTGCGTCATCATCGTCGTCGTCGTCGTCGTCATCATAGCTGTCGTATCGTCTGAATGTTGTATTGACATTCACAATGCTATCCCTGCCATCACAATATTGATCTCTATTTATTCAGGGAACGATATCTCAGAAGAAAATCAGATATCTATACTTACGTTGGGGTGATGATGGTGATGTTTGGAATGATGATAATGATGATGTGGATGATAATGGTGTTGTCAATGGTGATAATAATGATGACGATGCTGGTGATGGATTGCAATTTTTCACTGATAAATTAAAACCACACACATATACACACATATACACACACACACTCAAACAAACACAAACATAAACACACAAACTGACAAACAAGGAACCAACCAAATGCACATGCACTACACGCAAAGGCAAAAGATGCTCCTAAACTCCATACAATTTTACAACACATAAAAATCCTGCCAAAAGTATTAAGTCGTTAAGTTAGCCCGTTAACTTGACAACAAAATGAATATTTAAAATATTACTTTATGTGCAAATTTGGATGTTTATTAGCCTGCTGTTATGAAATAAAATTGGTTATTCAATCTGTAGTTTTTAAGATAGGCAAACAAATGACTAAAACTAGCTTGTTGTTATAAAATAACGCAAATAATAGTGTTTACTAATAGTATAAATATTGTGATTTAACCTGTAACTTTAAAATGGGGAAAATAATTTTTAAAAAATCATCCAGGTGCCGCGGGACAACCCTTCACATTCTGGAGAGCAACCCCCTTCAAGTTCTCCTCTACATGTTGGTCGTGTTGGACGCTGGTGTTGTCATCGCCGAAATCTTGCTGGATCTCCATGCCATCAAAAGTTTCTTCATTTTCTTGCATTTGTTGTTCACTCTTGCGATGTTTTGTGTGTCTATTTTTTAAGTTCTTTGATCTGTTGCACTTAATTTTTAGGTTTTTTCAACTATTTGCAGGTAATTTTTATTTTTTGAATTTTTACATTTCATTTTGAATTGTTAACTTCATAATGATGAAAAAAGTGTCTGGTGTCTTGATTTAGGTTCATTATAATGTTTAACAGTTAATTCAAATTCAATTTCTAAGCTCATATCGTTGTCTACATTAATGAAAAGAATTATTTTTGCTCCAATTTTCAAATATAGTAAAAAAAGGCTGGCAGAAATACACTAATGCCAAACTGTTTAGTTAGTAGGAGCTATGCAGGAGTGCTAGATTAATTTAAATTTACGTTGAAGATGCAAAATCATTTGAATTTATTTGTTTTTGGCAAAGACTGAAAATAAGAATTTTTATATTTATGACGTAAATGGAATTTCTGGGAAATGGAGAATGTTGTGGCACAATAGCTTAATAGGTTCGCAGATCATCTTATAATTTGTAATGACATAAACGCCACTTGTTGTTGAATTGAAAAAAGATATAAGATTCGGCATCTAATCTTATTCATGTTCACATACTTTAAGAACATCTTCATACATTTTCTGATTTGTACTGTACATTTAAAAATCTTTCGTGTAAAAAAAAAGAAAAATATGATGAAAGGATGACATATACAAAAGTCCTGGCAGATTCATGGATGTTAGTAATAAAAATTGCATCTATAGAGAAGTTTATTCCCGCATACCACATGTTATATTATTATAATGGTAAACGTCTTGAATAATATAACTGCAACGAATATTAAGAAATATTTAATAATATAAAGAGGAATGAAATGTACAGCATACACATGTATATATTTGTACATTGTACGGTACGTACAAGAGTTGTCGTACGAGCAGGTCATCTTGCGTTCGTTTAGCGTGGGAGTTGAGTTAAATGACCAAGCGCTTGTGAGGTTGTGCACGCTGAAGCGTTGTGCAACTGAGTTGATGACCACCCACTCAGATACCACACACACACACACACACACACACACACACACACACACACACACACACATTCCACACGCTAACTAGAGTAATAATATTATTTACACATCGCAAGAAGTGTTATGATAACCCTCATTTAGCATCCTATTTTGTTGTATACCACCTCAACGCAATCCATTGTTTTTTATTATTAAGAGATATAAAATGATATCGTTTGACAATACAATGGACATTCTGAAGATGATAATATGCAGAAATAAATGGCCAGACAGATGACAAAACAGATAAATTAATGTTGCCAACCTAATTGTCAACATTTTCAACTATATTAGTGTTGTGCTTTCAACAAATATCAACATTCGGGGTTGTCACAGCAACAACATTTCATCGCTACTCACATCTTCACTTCTCATACATTGTCCCGTCTTCAGCGTCATCAAATCACTTACACCATCTCATCTCTCACTTTCACACATCAATCTCATCACCTCCATCATCACATCAATCTCATCACCTCCATCACCACACACATCACCACATAAATCACGAAGGTCAGAACAAGCAAGCCACAGTGGACTTTGAGAAGGCCATCAACTTCATAACGGAAATATTCTCAACCGAGCTGGACCAGTACAACGGCAATAATATAGATTACATACTCGATAAACTTACCGTACCGACATACCGAGCACATTACCAAGATCAAGACATTTCTTCCAACTCAAACATATTCACGACAGCCACGGCAGCCACGGCAGCCACGACAGCCACGACAGCCACAACAGCAACGACAGCCACGGCAGCAACGACAGCCACGGCAGCAACGATGACAACAACGATGGCAACATCTACATTGCCGACAGAAAGTAGCATAGTTTATGCATTAAAGAGAAAGAATTTAGAACAAAATCGATATGAACCGACGTTAATTTATCGACAAGAAGCCTCTGATTATTACGCCAGTGATGACGTCACTGATGTTGATGATGACTTTAATGACAGCAATGATTCACATGATGATAATTCTGATGACGATGATGATGAGGATGACAGCAGCGGTATGGTGATAAGCGTCAGAAATAAACTCAACCACAAATCTCACATTTCGTCGCATTTTCAAAATGAAAAAATCTCTCAAAAGCGAAATTTACCACAACAAAAACAGGCGAAAGTTAGCGAGCATCAACAGCAAAACCATCGGAAGAGAAAATCAAGAAACCAGCAAAAACGCGAAAATCAACAACAACAACAACGACGTCAAAAACAACAACAACAAGAAAACCAGCAACAGCGCGAATCGCAAAATAGATTCGACCGGTCGATATTAAATGATCGATTCAAATACGGTTCCACGATAAGTAAGAATCTAATTTGTTTCCCTCTTCTCAACTATAAAAAGCATCACCACCATTCAAAAAGCAAGGTATATAACAAAGATGAAGATGGCAAAAAAGAAGATGAAGATGATGATGAAGATGAGGATGAGGATGGTAGAAGTGATACCAGTGGCGACAAAATAATAAAGAAAGATAATATAGAGAGAGAGGAAGAAAAAGATTCAGCTGGCTTACATGAAGGATTTGCTCGTAAAAACAACCAAAAGAGAAGCACACAAAAACGATTAACAAGACATGCAGACGACAAAATCAACAGCAACAACAACGGCAACGTCAATCTCAACTACAACAACAAAAACAAAAAAAGCATTAAGAGCATTAACAATAAAAGAAGCAACAACAATATCGGCAAAATAATCAAGACTGATAAACCGATTATAAAAAACATTGAAACCAAACGCGGCTCCATTAACAATATAATTAACAACAACTACAACAACCACAACAACCACAGAATGAAGAACAAACTGAAACACTATATAAGTAACGACGGTGAACACGCGTTGGACATAACCAATCCATTATTTTTCAACATCAACAAAGAAGGGTTGGTGAAAATTCTACAAAAAACGAATAAAAACAAAAAAAGAGATAAAATTAACATTAAAAAGAGTGCTCATAACCACAACAGCAACAAAAATTCATCTGAATACAACAATAACAATAATAACATCAACAACAATAACATCAACACCCATAACTTCATTAACAAAAATGACCAAAACATTAATCAATTCAAGACAACAACTGCTGTGGTTGGTCTAACATCTAAAAATTACAACAACAACCGCAACAACATGAACAACAACAACATCATTAAAAACAACGACAACGACATCCACAATAACATCAACCACAACAATAAAAACATTAATAAAAATATCGAAAATGATTATAGCCACGCGATAAAACTTAATAAAAACAGCAATAAAAACAACATCAATAACATCAATAATAATTTTGACGCTAACAAAAGCAATAACATTAATGGTAATAACAATTACGATTACGATGATGGCGATGATGAAAATGATGACGTCATTAAGGGTGGGTATGACGTTGGGAGTGACGGTGATTTTGCTGAAATGATGATGAGCCTAGCAAAATCTCCTGGTGATACTGTATATAACACATCCAAACCAAATTATAATAATTTACCCAAAATTAATATTCATCATACTGATGACGTCATCAGCATTGATGAGAGTATTAAGAACAACACAAATTTAAGTAATGATAAGGATGCTGATTATGATAACGATGTCAGTCGTAATGATTATGATGATGCTGGCGGATATGATAATGATGGAGAAAAAATTTATTCATCTAAGACGGCATTCACGACTCTGTTATCACCGCAGACGTTAGAATTTGATAAAAAAAGAACAACCACCGCAACCTCTACTACCACTACTACTCCTACTACTACTACTACTACTACTACTACTTTGACTAGTACTATAACTGATACTATTTTTAATGCACATACTAATACTGCTACTACTACTACTACAACAACAGCTGCAACTGATGTTGCTGCTGCTGCTACTACTACTACTGTTGCTGATCACTCAGCTAAATCAAGCAACACTGTCACTGATAAAGATGTGATAACATCATCGCAGCTGCCAAACTTGACAACTTCATTATCGTCATCGTCGTCATGGTCATCGTCAACATTGTCATTGTTATTATTACCACAATTCTCTTTACCTTCTTCTCCTCTATCATCATCATTACCATCATTGCCACCATCATTACCGCCATCAGCCTCCTCCTCTCAATCGTTATCAGGAATTTCGTATAATGAAAACCAACATGACCATATTAAAATAAGCAGTGACCAGATTTACAACAATATCAACAATAATGATAATGACAACAACAACAACATTAACAACGACAACAACAACGATAATAATAATAATAATAAGAATAATAACGACAACAACAGTACGAGAAGCAGGTTGAGCTACGAAAAAATTAAATCATACCGTCATAAATACATTGAAACAGGTGGCCTCAACAACATCAACAACAACAACAACAATAAGACATCCATCAAGTTCTGCAAGACAGCCCACAACAAAATAACTACCAACATCAACCACAACTACGATTACAATGACCACAGAAGCAACAGCAGCAGCAACCACAGCAGCAGCAACAGTAGCGACTGCATCAACGACGACTACTACAAAAAAAACGCATACGCCGAGAACCTACTGAAAATCGCCCACATCTTGCATTACATCGGCATTGGAATACTGGCTAGTTTTGTTGTCCAGGTCATTATGCCCTTTCTTCATTTCTTACTGCTGCTGCTGCTGCTGATGATGATGATGATGATGATGATGGTGGTGGTGATGATGATGATGATGATGATGATGATGATGATGGTGAGGATGATGATTACAAAATTCTGTTGGATCTATCAACCAAAGTATGAAGAATGAAGATGGCGTCTTAATATGCTAGATTTTTTTCTGAGTCTAATTCATTTTTTCGAGAAACCAACTACTGCCTGTGTTATTGAAATTACTGTTGCAATGTTACTAATTAGGTTACTAAGCGGTAACACACACATAAACAGACACACAAACAAACAAACAAACACACAAACGCACACACATACAAACAATACACACACACACACACGAACTCACAAAAAAACAAACAAACACACACGAATACAGACACACAAACACATGTTACAACCACCACCCACACAACTAACGACAAAATGTCTCCACAGGAGCGTGTCATCTTATGAGATCATTCGTCACTATCATAGGCATTGCAAGAACGTTGATAACATCGTCATTATCATTTATCATTATCATTGGTCTAATTGTCGTCATCACATATGATATCTTTACAAATGATATCTTCACATCACATATGATATCATCACTTATGATAACATCACATATGATATCATCACATCACATCACATATGATATCATCGCTTATGATAACATCACATATGATATCATCACATCACATCACATATGATATCATCGCTTATGATAACATCACATATGATATCATCACATCACATCACATATGATATCATCGCTTATGATAACATCACATATGATATCATCACATCACATCACATATGATATCATCGCTTATGATAACATCACATATGATATCATCACATCACATCACATATGATATCATCGCTTATGATAACATCACATATGATATCATCACATCACATCACATATGATATCATCGCTTATGATAACATCACATATGATATCATCACATCACATCACATATGATATCATCGCTTATGATAACATCACATATGATATCATCACATCACATCACATATGATATCATCGCTTATGATAACATCACATATGATATCATCACATCACATCACATATGATATCATCGCTTATGATAACATCACATATGATATCATCACATCACATCACATATGATATCATCGCTTATGATAACATCGCATATGATATCATCGCATATGATATCATCACATCACATATGATATCATCGCATATGATATCATCGCATATGATATCATCACATATGATATCATCACATATGTGTGATCGTTGTCATCGTCAACATCATCGTTCATTTAAATTCTAAATTGAGTAGAGAGAGTATATGTAGTAGTGGTAGTAGTGGTAGTAGTTCTAGTAGTTGTAGTAATGGTGGTGGTAGTGGTAAAAAATGGATGCTGTATTTTAAGTAGTTAGAAAAAAGGAGAAGTAGCAGTTGCAAATAAGGTAGCGTCAGTGACATCATATCTGCAGACGACGATGATAATTTTTTCGGACGTTTCTCAAACTCAAAAATGTCTAATGCAAAACGAAAGCAGCGAATGTGCAGGCACGCACATGAAAATTTTACATTTGCATCGCACTGAACACAGAGAGACACACAGACACGAACACACACAGACACACACACACATACACACAGACAGACACACACACACATGCAGTCAGTATACACTGTATCTTATGTGCTTCTTTTATATACATAACAACTTGAATTCTGTTGAAAGTTACATTAACAGCATACGCCAAAACATACATTCAGTTGAATATACACACATACAACCCACACAAACAGACACACACACATACACACACACACACATACAAACACACACATACATACACACACACACATACAAACTTATACGTAAACATACACCCACGCAGAACAATATTTACATTTATATACAGGTTCTTCTGAAGATGTATGGAATGGGCGCCAATTTTTGGAAAAAGAAGCTTGAGGTTATTATGCTGTTGAGGATGAAGATGATGATGAAATGAAGATGGCGATTCTAATGATTAAGATGGATGTTAATGAAGATGAAGGTGATTGCGCTGATGATGAAGAAGTTGATGATGAAATGATAGTGTAATGGTTAAAAATAGCAATATACATATATATATATATATATATATATATATATATATATATATATATATATATATATGTGTGTGTGTGTGTGTGTGTGTGTGTGTGTGTGTGTGTGTGTGTGTGTGTGTGACAATGACAAGGCTGACAAAAATATGCGCTCAAATTGTCAAATTTGTAAAAAAAACGTTGTCAGATTTGACGTTGGTGATAAGGATTGTGAAAATGATAAGAATATTGTTTATTATAGTGAGTATCAAGGCGTACAAACGTACATTTTCATACATTTTTAAATAAGTGTGCGTGCTTATGTGTGTTTGGTGTATGTGTGTGTGTATGTGTGTGTGTGTGTGTGTGTGTGTGTGTGTGTGTGTGTGTGTGTGTGTGTGTGTGTGTGTGTGTGTGTGTGTGTGTGTGTGTGTGTCTGGCTTTTCTCCGACACGTTGTCATATTTTGTAACGTTTTTCAAAACTTTTTCCTACAAAAAATTATCAAAACAATAATATGTCAAAATGAAGTTTAAAGCTGAAATAATTTTTTTTTAAATTATATTCATAATAATTATTTTCAAAACACATTACCAAAACGAAAAATTGAGAAGTCTTTGGTTTCATCCTTTTTCGCTACAGATCTTCTCATGTCCATGGTCTTTATTATGAAATTTTATTTCACCGCACCCTTACAAATGGTACTGCTCACAATTTGTTGCCACTAACTTCTAGCTATGGTACCATTATTGGAAGTTTGGTAGCATTATGCAAATTAATGTTTCCGGCATATGAAATCAACATTTTTTAAAAACATGAAAGGTTAGTTAGCAAATTTTCTCTAAATGCCATCAAACAAGGAAGCGTTTGAAGCCCGTGCGATTTTCTGTATCAATTTCATGCGCCTGCAATGGACAAAAATACATTTATTTGTTTTAAAGCTCTTTTTAACTTTTTATTATCGTTTTAATTTTGAAATTGCATTTTTAAAATCTTAAAAAATATTTCTTTTATTAAGATATAAATTACCGAATTGACTTTTTTTGGCGAAAATCAAAATCGAATTTTTCAATTTTTTTAAATTGGAATCTTTTACCTGGAACAATTAAGTTTTCAATTCTCAATAAATATTCATCAAGTATCTTCAAACTGAACGTAGCGATTGCAAAATGAACTATGTTCAACATTCAATGTGTTTGTAGTTGGCCGTTTGGCACATGAGCTATCTTCATCTCCTCACACATGATTAACACAGGATGGACGTCTGATGCAAAATCCACGCAAATGCTGATTTATTGCATTTCTGAAGTTTATGTATACGTATGAAAACAAAGGTTGTACGTAGTTCATGTTATACACAAACTTATAAACTACAATATACAAGCAATAAGCATAAAGATAGCAAAAAATCGTTTGTTATTCCATCCATCAATTCATCAATTAGTTTATTAGGCTGAATTTCTTATTTCATTTGGTTTTTTTTTTCAATTGGTGACATGCACAAATTAAATTCAATTAACAATAGAAACGCGGTCAGACTCGGAAAACATTCAATAAACTTAATTCCATTCCTTGGAGTTTGCACAAAGTTTCCAAATGCTTTTTTACTTTCATTTGTTTTTGTTCAGTTGAGTCTGATTATGCAGCGTCTGGCATGTGGGATTTCGTGCTGTAGGTCATTCTCCCGCAAGAAATTTAAATTGTGCCAATGCTAATGAAAGCAAAAGTTGGAAAGAGACGTTTAATCAGAAACAAATGCCCTGAAAAAATTAAATAAAAGTTGTTTTTATTTTCTGAAGTAAAAAAATTAAAAATTAAAAAAGAAGAAAAAGAATTGTACTTTCAATTTCTATAAAGGATGCAGTAATAAGTGCAACACATGATTATAAACAATTGGTTGATTAACGAAGCCAAATTATTACAAATTTGTGATTTAAAATTTCCATATTTTTACGCTGTTGATGATTCAGTTGTTTCTAGGAAAATTTAGTAATGTTTGGATTAATAAAGTAATGAAATTAATTGAATAGAGACATTAGAATGATACTCTGCTACAATGATCATGCCGTACAAAGTTGGAATTTAAGAATTCAATAATCGCAACTTAAATCATTCATACATCCATTCATTCATTCATACGTACATACATCCATCCATTCATCCATCCATTCGTTTATCAATTTGTTCAACTGACGGATTAAAAAAGTTTTTATTCGTCCATTCGCTCTAATAAACTTGAAGCACTGGGACAAATCGAAATGATTTTTTTTCTCCGAATGACCCAGATATTTGACGCGGTCATAGTGATGACGTCATTCACGCTTGACCTAGTTTTCATCGAGGGCATCACGGGCACGAAACACGAGGAGGCCATTGCCCTGCTCATCATCTTCCTGCTCTGGAGGATTCTGAGGATAATAAACGGTCAGTGCAGGATGATGATGACGACGACGATGATGATGATGATGATGATGACGACGATGATGATGATGACGACGATGATGATGATGACGACGATGATGATGATGATGATGATGATGACATTGTGATGATGATGATGATGTTGATGATGACAATGTGATACTGATGACGATGAAAATAGAAGCTACACGAATGATGACAATCCTATCGACTATGAAGGAAAATGATGACGACGATGATGACGACGACGACGATGACGTCACGGAGAATATTTATGGTAATGCGAAAGCTGTAAACTAATGATAAGAAAACACCGGCGTGTGATTACAATAATAATGTTATAACTGACCGCTGGACGAGGAACTCATTCAATCCACAATGGAATGTAGCGACACGATGTATTTTTTAAATTATCGTTTTATTTACAAATCGATAATCAACGTTAATCAATTAGTTAATTAATCAACGTTAACTAACTTTACTAATAAAGTTAACTTTCACAAACTATCAGACTTACGTTCAGGAACTACCGTCTTCCGAATCAAAATTCACTAACTTTTATCGCGAATACAATAGAACTTTCAACGCAGAGTCAAATATCAAATACCGCTTTAGACACTGACAATCGCCATTCCTTATCCTTCAGGTTTTTATATTATATACCAGTCTTACCGACGCCACTCGAACGTACTAGATATCTCGTTGTCAGAAGGTTCCAGCTCCTTCTCGAAATGTATGCGTTCGTAGCAATGGTAGCTCCATTAGCGAATATATTTGTAACGTTTATAACGCTGCTCCCTTTCAGCTCTGTTTCTTCCAGACAGAGATCGTTGCAACGTCTGCATAGAATGGGGCCAGTCTGTCCAGATGAACAACCTTCATTCCCGCCCGCGGCTTCCTATCAGCAGCAATTCTAATTGAATTTTTAACTTTCAATCAATTATTCGGTTTTCTCAACAAATCCGCTATCAGTTGTATAAAACATTGAATAAAATCATTAAAATTCTGATCCTAGTATTTTTTTAATTTTTACTATCAGCAGATGTAACATAGTGAAACTCACAAACAATTAAATTACCCGTAGTCCAACACACACAAAAGTATGCACGCACATTCACACACACAGAAACACACGCACATGTGTTGAGTACAATACACACACACATACACTCATCGTGTGCTCACGCACACACAATCGAATTGAAGTTATTACTTATTTTAAGAAAATGCCTGTCATCAAAATAAACATTTTGCACTTATGGCAACATACTTAATTACCGAAGACTGAACAGACCCGCTTAAAACAAAGTTCGTTAATATTGAGGTACGTTATATTTAGGAACGTTATATTGAAGTGTGTTATATTGAGGTACGTTATATTGAGGTATGTTACTCGTCACGTGCCAGTCATATGCAATGTGCGTGATTTATGTTCATTCACGCCTACTCCCGGTATGCACACACACGCATCAACGTGTATTTTCTAAAAATAAATAATTTTTTTTGTAAACATTTGCCGATATCGTGTTATGTTTATTTGTGTAGCGAGTAATTTTTGAGTTGCTACGATTTTTTTATTTATTGTTGTTGAAGTCGTTAGATGTAGAAATTCCTGCACTCGATCACCCACCCGCCCAATGTTTTGCCGCGTCAAATTCGCGGAAGATTCTATTTTGAATAGTGCTGTGTATAGTGCACAATGGCAAAAATCACGACGCGAAGTGTGTGATGAAGCTGATGCGATTGTAATGTGATGATCTGTGAGATGGGATGGTGATGTGATGATGTCATTACGTTGTTATGTTATAGTACGTTGGTTGACGTTATGTGTTGTGGCATAATGTAACCTGATATAATGTTGTAGGGTGTAACTTAATATGATATACATTTTAATATGTTTTATGCTTGTAACTATGCGATTTGATGTGATTTGATGACGTGATGTGATGAGGTATGACGTAGTTTGATAGATTTGTGGCTCAGTGTTGTAAGAAGTGAAGCGTTTTTGTTTGATGCTTTGGAAGGTAATTTGATTCGAGATGCTGGGATGCGATGTGATGTTGACACGTGATGGTTTTTTGATCGATCTTTTGGGATTCGTGTGTAATCTGTGTGTGTGTGTGTGTGTGTGTGTGCGCGCGCGCGCGCATGTAAAAACGTGAATATTTATGTTGTGTGCATATGTGCGAGAGTGTGTGCGTGTGTGTGTGTTGACGAGAAACGTACTAAATGAAATACATTGTTTGATCTTTGACGTGTGTTGCTATTTGATTTGAGTTCAGTAGAATGTGTTTAATGTCATGTAGCTTACTGCAATATTTTTGTTTGTTGATGTGATTGATTGTTTTGCAATGCTATATTATAATTAATGTGATAAGATGTGGTTGACAGTTTTCACCGGCTATATCAAGCACACAATCTTCACATTTTGAAAACCATCTAACCAAAAATAAAAATATCGTAAGCATATTTTTAGATAGCAGAGCTAACAAATCAATAACATAAAACCAATTCTATTCCTATAAAACCATTCCTATAAAACCATTCCTATAAAACCATTCCTATAAAACCATTCCTATAAAACCATTCCTATAAAACCATTCCTATAAAACCAAATGGATGCCAAAAATATTCTCGTTAAATTATTTTTTTTTGTAAATATCGACCAGGGTATAAAACATTTTCTTTTGAAAAACTCTGCGTGTCTTATTACCTGTGGAAAAGATTTTACTAGCATATGCTACAGCTAAAGCATGATATAAAATATATATATATATATATATAATACATATATACATACCATCTTTTTCGCGGATTTTTTTTTTAGTTTTTATTGGTCTTACTTGTTATTTAGTTTGGCTGGTTTTTTAAATTGTGATAGAACATTTTTTGGGGAGCGCGTCAAATATGCATGTACGGATTGATGTTCCATTTATTAAGTTATGTTATTTGTTATGTTTAGCGGTTTTTAAGATATGTTTGATTTCCTTAATTTCAAACGTTTATTTGTTTATTGTGTGTGAATTCGTTTATTTAATTAAAAACAATAGAATTTAATATAATTATTATCGTAATGCTACATCGTTGTGTTCATATCATTACATTTTTATTCTTCCAAACGTTTCAAAACAGCTAACATCTAATTCAACTTATGTAAACAGAAATATTAGTTTTAACACACTCACACGTGCACGCACACAAACACACGTGCACACACACGCGCACACACACGCACATCTGGGCACTTGATACCTATGATAATACAAAGGATGATAATGAAGATCGGATTTCTCTTAATTAGGGCACAATTAATTTTAATGAGCTCTTCAATGATCTATATTAATCGTTACTATTCCTATAAGAATTTTTTAAAAATATTTTTAAAAATAATTTGGATGGAAAAATATTTGTATGTAATGCTTTTTTTTGGTGCTGAAAGTTAATGCTGAGACTCCTTTTTCTTTTTCGTGCCTTATCCTTTCAGGACATTGGCGACCATCGACCTCCACAAAACCCGATCTTTAACACTTTGTAGTAGTTGAAATGTGGTGATATTGAACAAGTGGCACAAGGACTTCACGAATGTTATTCGTTGTTGACCGCGATTTTTTTTCCTTGCAATCTTTCCAGTAGCTGTTAAATTTTCCATTCTTTTCTTCCACATGATGTGACTAAAAAAAACTTTAACTGCCCCCGTCGGATTATCTGTGATAATTTCTTCTTTTCATATCCGGACTGTTTTAATACATCGAAGTATGAGAGGCCTAACTAATTACTGAAGGTACATTTGTAAATATTTTTAATACTCGCACTTTTGAATAATACTCGTAGCACTTTTAATACTCGCACTTTAAATAGTACAGCCTTTAATAATTTAACTTTCGTGAGATTCACTAACACCGATCAATTGAAATTACTTAAAATAGGTTATTGAGATGGATTGACATGAGAGCAGTTAAGTAAAATATGCTTATGACAGATCACTGATATAATATACTACTACCCTCTTCATTATAATTGTTACTAAATTAAAATAATATTACCTTAAATGGAAGTATTATTATGATAATTATATTATATCTTATCAAAATAATACTTTTCATTAAGTTTCTTAAAGTGATTTCTACCATTATTATTACACTGCTGTTTTAGAGTCTAACTATGTTTGCTACAACAGATTTAACATCACGGCTATGCTACATTCATTTGAACTTTTCTATTACTACTACTGCTACTACTATAACTACTAATTGTTTGTTTCTAAACCTGTTATTGGCGCCGATGCCGTTACTACAACAACTACAACTACTACTACTACTACTGCTGCTACTACTACTACTACTGCTGCTGCTACAATTGCTACTACTGTTGATACTGTTATTACAACTACTGTTGCTACTACTACTTCTGCTGCTGCTACTACTACTACTACTACTACTACTACTACTTGCAGAACTTTTTTACTTCTAAACTGTCGAAAATAAATGATACTAAATCACGTTCGCAGTACAATCAAAAGTTGAAACATCCTTGGAGCAATTACTGAACGGCATTTTTGATGCTGTTACTACAGAAATAAATCAGTATACTTTATCACCGAATTGTAGGCGATTCAATCGAAGTATTCTAATCACTGAGGAATAATAAAACTTAAAAAATAAATAAATACACTAAAAAACGCTGAATAAAAAAGTTAGTTTTTAATATAAAAAAATAAGCAAATAATTGAAAAATAAATAAATAAACTAAAAAACGCTGAATAAAAAAGTTAGTTTTTAATATAAAAAATAAGCAAATAAGAAAAATGAAAGCTTCACATTCACATCAGTGGGGGCAAGTTATACTGGATATGGAGAGTTTAATGTGAGGTCGTTCCATTTAATGGCAATAACGCTTTGAAAGGATCTCATTTCAGGATGTTTTTATTGGGTTGAATGACCTGCAATGCCAAACAGGAAATGGATGAATGGATGGATGGATGGATGGATGGATGGATGGATGGATGGATGGATGGATGGATGGATGGATGGATGGATGGATGGATGGATGGATGGATGGATGGATGGATGGATGGATGGATGGATGGATGGATGGATGGATGGATGGATGGATGGATGGATGGATGGATGGATGGATGGATGGATGGATGGATGGATGGATGGATGGATGGATGGATGGATGGATGGATGGATGGATGGATGGATGGATGAATGGATGGATGGAATTTTTCTTTACAATGTTATTTAATGTTGTTAATGTTTGTTATTGATCATTGAATTGTCATCGTTATATAATGTTAGTTATTTTTTTTTAAATCCGAATTAAAGTTCACATCATCGCCACCATCATTATCAGCATCATCATTACATCAACCATCATCATCATCGTCACCGTCATCATCACCATCATGCAAAGTTTCATGCCTCCAGCTCGCTTATTATCCATCAAATTGATGAGGCGTTTTTGTTGTGAAACATGCGGAATGGGTTGCGTGGGGAGGGGAGTGGAGAAAGGTAGGCCCTGCGGAGTTTAAACGTAAACAAACTTCTCAAACAATTCATCATCACGACGATAATGGAGTTGGATGGTGGTGATGAAGGTGATGATGAAGACGATAGGGAAGATGAGAGAGAGAAGAGGATGAGGATGATAAGAGAGAGAGAGAGGATGAGGGGAATGCTAAGGATAATGACGGAGCTGACAAGTAAGTGTGGAGATAATGAAGATGGCGATGAAGATGATGTTGTCAAACTGTCAATTATGATAAAAATGATGATGCTGTTGGAAATAAATTAAAAAATGCAGGACCGCAAACAAATGGCATCAGACTAATGTTGATGGCAGATGCTTGCTTGACAATCCACTTAATGAGCAAAACGCTTCGTCTACATACATTACATCTGATTATGATAACGTGATACGCCGCATAAATGATTTTGAGATGGAATTTAAAAAAATTGTTAAGATGATGATGAATGTATTAATGTATTTCCTATCAATATAATAGAAATTAATTAGAACGAAAAATTATAGCAATTATAAAAACGTTAATGAATGCATATGAGTGAAACATATATATATATATATATATATATATATATATATATATATATATATATATATATATATGTTTTTCATATAGTCAATTATATATATATATATATATAATTGACTTTTTATTGTTGTTTTGCAAGAGAGTAATAATAACCTACAATAAATACATATATTTGTGCTTCATTGAAACATGCACTCATTGCTTAAGTGCCTGCTATTTTTATGATTCTTATACACACACATCACATACATACATACACACGTACTCACACACATACTAACACATGCACATACTCAAACTTACACACACGCACACACATACACAGCACAAGTATTACGTCACAAAGATGATATTTCTTTGCAACCTGCATTTAGTTAATGAGTGCAACAATCTGTGCGTACAGATGTTGAAAGCCTCAACAGACCACACCGGAAGTAGTAGAGAGCGACTCAGTGGCCACAATATTTTTACTCAAAAATGCTCTTTTTGTCTGGGCAATTTTTCACTTTTCAATAATTTAAAAAAAGTGAAATTAAGTAAAGTGTGTTTGTTATACATTAAAATGTGATGCCTATAATGAAGACACATTCATCACTTGAGTACCTTACAGATGGTTCTTTGCTTTGATGGATGAGGTTTTTTTAACCGGGCATCGCCATCATCCAATGCATTGAATGAATAAAATTCAAGTTTCGAAACTGAATGAATAGCTTCTTATTAAATTATTTTTTTTTAATTTCAATTAATTGTTAAAAATTCTTAAAACTATCAGAATTCGATACTTTAAAAAAATTTACACATTCGTTTCTCAAAACAAACAGCTCCGATAACAAATTTTTCATTATATAAACACCTATGCGTAATAGAGTAACATTTTGCTCTTAAAAAAATATATCTGTTATATCGAAACCCGGATATATCGTAGAAAATAATTTCTTTATAAAGAAAAAGGACCATGAAGAGAATGAAGGATGTATAATAGAGCCAATTAAGGGAATGTGGAATCTTTCTCGAGTAAATGAACTCCATAAATCAAAATTAGAACGTATGATAGTTTTCATATAAATGAGTCACGGCTATCGTCCGTCGTCATTGTCATCATTATCATCGTCCTCTCTATCATCATCATCATCGTCGTCTTCTCTATCATCATCATCATCATCATACTTTCTATCATTATCATCGTCGTCCTTTCCACCATCATAATCATTTCTTTGCAGTTATAATCATTATAATTTTACCTTGTTCACCGTTATCTGCCCAGTCGTCCACAAATACCGTTATCATGTCTTCAAAGTTGTTATCATTATCATCATCGTCATCACTCCTCTCTATCGCATCTTCATCATCATCATTATCATCATCGCCGTCTTCGTCATCATCATCATCATCAATACTTTTTGGTGTTAGCGCTGCTGAAGAGCGTAGAAGATGATTGCAATATCAACAAAAGTCAGGACAATAATAAATGAGATTTGCTGCCCCTACAACAACAACAACAATAACAACAACAACAACAACAACAATAATAATAATAATAATATAAATATTATTATCAGTTGTAGGAGAAGTAGTAGTAGGAGTGGTATTAGTAGCAGTAGTTAACTTTGTTGTAATAGTAATAATAGTAGTAGTAGTAGTAGTAGTAGTAGTAGTAGTAGTAGTAGTAGTAGCAGCAGCAGTAGTAGTAGCAGTAGTAGTAGTAAGGGTGGTGGTGGTAGTAGTAGTATTGCTAGTAGTAGCAGTAACAACAATATTACTTCTAATATTACAAAATCATACCACCACAGAACAGAACAGTGTGGTTATCTACATTTTATTTTATGTTTTTCTGAACTGGACAATCATCATTCAGACGAATAAAGACAGAGTCCGAATGATGCATAATGAGAATGGAAAACACTGAAGTGAACATGTCTGTCTTGCGTGTAACCACAGCACCACAACCACCATATCTATCTATCTAACTATCTATCTAACTATCACAGCTACCACACCTCAACTGCCACAACCACCATAACCACAGCCACACACTTGCGTTTGCAGGCATCATGGTGACGACAAAGAAGCGGCAGGACTTGCGCATTCAGCTGCAGAAGCGAGCCAGGAGGAGGGCAGAAAAGAAAGTGGAGTACCTGGAAGATGATCGGAACTGGAAAGAGGTGATGATGATGGTGGTGATACACTGATGATATTGATAGTGATGATATACTAATGATAATGATAGTGTTGATATGGTGATGATGATGGTGGTGGTGATAAACTGATGATGATGATGATGATGATGATGATGATGATGATGATGATGATGATGATGATGATGATGATGATGATGATGGTGGTGGTGGTGGTGTATAATTTTATGATAACTTTATATCATTTAGACGTCTCGATAATGTGATCATTTTGATAACAACGATAAGGATTAAAAATATATAATGATGTTAATAATCTGTGCTAATATTTTATTAGAGTTACTTATTCTAGCAATACATGCATACACTGAGCTAATGTATTAATATGTTAGCAATAGAAACAATACGGACAATAATTTAGTTATTTTTATCGGCGAATGATTTTCTGATTGGGATACTAAACAAATTCGTTTTTTGAACAATTTTAAAAATCATTTATTTATGAAAAACAAATTTTGGAGTAATTTTAGTAACTATGATGCAGTATTTCAGGTTTGAGGTTTTTTTACATTGCAATAAATAGTAGATTTTTTGCCTGGATTTGGTTGTTACGACTCTGTTAGGAATGTTTGTGTGCATGTTATGAATAGTTTCGATCATAACGCAAAAAAGCAGAAACCAAATTTGTTTAAAATCTGCTCATCATACAGCACAGCATATTCACTATACCTCGTTTAGTTCAGTCTAAGTGCAACATCTTTTTAATTTCTGAAAAAATTATTTTAATTCAAATCGTTTCTCCTGATCGTAGTTTACTAAAAAAAAACAAGAGAAAATAATTTTTTCGCATTTTTGTTAGTAGGAAAATAAATGAACATTAAATTTTCAGCGCAATAAAACAACTGTCGTTTGAGTTTTTTCAACCGTGCAACTTTCAACACTATTTTTATTCTTTTCCTTTTCGAATGGCCAACATTTAGAGAAATTCGCGGCGAACTTCTTAATTAACTTGTTCATTAATCATTTGTAGTGGAAGTTTTGATATATTGAGTAGTAGTAGTAGTAGTAGTAGAATCGGTATTAGTAGTAGTAGTAGTAGTAGTAGTAGTAGTAGTAGTAGTAGTAGTATCGGTATTAGTAGTAGTAGTAGTAGTAGTAGTAGTAGTAGTAGTAGTAGTAGTAGTAGTAGCGGTAGTAGTAGTAGTAGTATCAGTAATAGTAGTAGTAGTATCAGTAGTAGTAGTAGTAGTAGTAGTAGTAGTAGAAGTACCAATCGTAGCAGATGTAGCAGAAGTAACAGAAGTTACAGTAAGGATTGCAATGGTAGAAATAATCTCAATAATGTTGTATATTTGTAGCAATAGAAGTGGTTTGGTAGTAGTCTTAACAGAAAAAGGTATTAATAAAATGAATGGTAGTATTAGTATAGTTACTTTTTTTAAAATATAACCTAGAAGCTGAAACAAAACTGTGGTAAGAAGGTGTTTTGAAATGGATTATTTAATGGCAACCAGTGGTGTTATGTTGAGCAGTTGTTGAATTTTTTTGGAGTGTTGTTTGTCGAGGATAATTGTTGTCAACACTTTTTTGTTAATAAATTTGTTTATAACTCTCATAGTGTTTGACTAAATAGCGACCCGTTGAAAGCAATTGTTGCTGTTGTTGTTGCTGCTGCTGTTGTTGTTGTCGCCGCTGCTGTAGTAGTAGCAGTTGTTCATAGACCATCTTGCCTTTCATGCATCGCTTTTACCATCTATACCGCTTCTATTGGCCTCTCTGTGAGTTCTCCAAATCTTTCTCTCAATCCCAGACCACGTGTGTGTCTCTCCATCTTCAGCGTTTGGCATTCCAGCCATAAGTATGGTGGTACTGTTTCAACTCCCTTTCCATTCAGTCGGCATACATCTTTGTCCGTGAAACCTATCTTTGTTTGATAGCTTCTTGCTGCTGTTGTTGTTGAATTTTTTGTTTCTGGAGTTGTTGCAAATGTTGCTGACGCTTACTTACGTTTCTGAAAAGTTTCAAATGGTTTCCAACAACTTTGTGGTTGACTATTTTTTTCTCGTTCATACTCGTATTACAGCCTCAATTTTTATCTGATACGACGTTTTATCTGATGTTTGTTTGATTAGACGATTTCAGTGATGTTGACAATGAATTCGTTTCTAAGTATTATGTCGTTGTTGTTGTTGTTGTTGTTGTTGTTGTTGTTGTTGTTGTTATAGACGCTGTTATCTATTATTTCTAGGTGTTGAAATCTTTATTCAAACTATCCATGTTCTTGCAGTTTGTTCATATCAATTTAATTATATCAATAATAGCAACCCAGCTGGAAATAAGACTCAAGTTAGCAACATTCCGTTCGCATTTTCCTCCACAGACAATAATTTTCAATTAGCGTCATACCTGCCTCGTGTCAGCGCTCATCCTCAACTTCTTTCTTCATTAAAACATCTTTTCATCCCATCTATTTTGTGAAGACAGAAAGAGAAAAAAGTAAAAAAACAGCAAAACATACTTTCGTTTTGTTTAGTTTCGAATACATATATGGACAATATTTTTATTTTGTTTTTGTAATTTTGTTAATGTTTCCTAATGGCTGTTACATTTTCGAAACTTCTTCAATTATTTTTGTTGTGCACCTAATGTGAGACTTGTTGGCGCTGGTTTTATGCGTTTTCCCTTAATTCAATTGTTCCTATAATTTGCTCAAGTATTTTCGGTTATGTGCTGGATTCCTTGAAACATTAATGAAAAGAAAAAATTCGAATAAAAGTTTGTCTTCAAACTCTTATTATAACATTTGTATGCTATCATATTTATAATGTTTGATTTAATAGCTCCCAACACATACGCAGCATTGTAAATTAGACACAAGCCTGCTCCATTCGTGCACACATTCTCATCCGTTCAGTTTTGCATTCGTCTCAGGTCTTATACGCATCCCGTATGACCAGAGTGCGAATTTTCTCTTTTTTTTGTTTAAATTTTTAAAAATTCTTTCCTTAATTTTTGTATCAATGTGACGTTATTATTAATGCAAATAATTTTTAAATTAGCACGGAAAACACATACAGACAAAAACACAAAATGGTTCAGTTGTCTGCAATGTTTATCATTATATCATTCACACCGAGGTATTCGCGTCCTTGCTTTCATACAGGCTTCACCGAACGTTCAATCTTTAACACCACTAACTTCCTATTCATTTCATCTCTTATAAATTATCCTCATTAAGAGGAGCAATGAACGAATTTCCGTTCATACACACGTACATAACAGACAAACACACAGGCACCAAACTCCTCACCTCAATCCGGTTATAACGTATGATGTTCCTGTTAACGAGTTTTAACATTTCAATAGCACAGCGGAAGGATTTAAATCAAAATTAATGGTGTGATATCATTCTTAGCAATCTTTCTACATTAAACCTACGCGAAAGTTTTAGTTTTTTCAGAGTGTTGCATCATTTCTCGTTAAGCTTTATTGTGTTTATGTAATTTAATTTATTTTTAAAGTTCGAAAAAATAAGTTTATAACAAAACGAAAAATGACAAAGCAGAGATTATTTGCTCATATTCAAAATTTTCATGACGGCAAACTTTTAAGCAAGTTGCAGGTTGATTTCACACGGTTGATATGCTAGACTGACACTTAGCAGTTCATACACATTGTGTGCATGTAATGAACCGTCAATTCAAGCATTTAATGCGGACGAATCATTTAAAACCGCAAACTTTATTTGATGCATCAAATTTTATAGCGTTAATAAATGTTTTTATATATTTTTTTTTAAATTATTCAAAAGTTTTTCAACTGCTTTTTTGTTATTAAGTCAGTAAATGGAAAACATTTGAAACTACCGAGTTTTTTTTCAAACAAAGTTTTGTGATTCAACGTACTGATCAGAATAAAAAACGAACTCCGGATGAGAAGCTTAACATTTTTAGATTTTTTAAATTTCATTCCACAAAGTTTATAAAATTTTTGCAAATTTAAAAAAACTTTTAGTAATGGCTTGAAAAAAATGATCATATTGAAATGAATTGAAAATTTTGAACTGGAAAAACTGGAACAAATTGCAAACTAGGAGACAAAGGAAATTGAGGATTTCAAGCTGTGCTAAAAAAAACTTTTTAACCACACAAGCAGAGGGGTTTATAAAATCAAGTTGTTTAAAATCTGTGGATTACAGATATTGATTAAAATGTCTTTTGATAAACTAACTAAACTATAAGAAACAAAATAGAAGATAAATTCCAGATTCGATCTCTAAGCATAAATGAACTTTACTTCAACATGCTAACTACATCTTTAGAAACATAAAAACAGAAACACAAGTGCTCATGTACGCAAACCGTAACTGTCGCAAAAGTCACATGTTTTAAAGTTGTGTGACGTCGTTATGTTGTAAATCAGAGTAAGCGATTGTCAATGAAGTAGGCCTCTAGATTCAGCAGACTCCATCGTTTCATTTCACTTTGCAAGAATGATTTATACGAAGTTATATTGAAATGAAAACGCAAGAAAACTAGCATTTATTTCATCAAATATGAAAATTATAAACAAATCAATCTAAAATGAACAATTATTTGCTTGGAATTGAATTAATTAATAAATTAACAAAATTAAATTCTTCTGGTTTGTTACTGAAACCCTTATTTTTCCACCACCAACAACAACATCTCCAGAGGGAAATACACAACTTGAGAAACCTCTGCCAGGAGAAGGGAGCCACGGACGAAGAGATCAACCACTGCAAACCAAGACGAAGAAGTGAATTCATCTTAAAAAATTTTCTTTAACTATTTCATGAATATTTTTCTGTTAACTTTTTTGCGAAATATTTTTAAATTATTAATTAAAAATAATTTTGATAATTATCTCATCATATTTTATTATATTGTCATATTTCTTAAAATTTATTTTAAAAAATATTTTGATAATTTTATTTTTTCTTATTATTATTTAATCATCAACTCAAAAATTAAATAAAACAAAAAACAAACAAAAAAGTGTTTCTTTAGAAACCAGACTTTTTTCACGCAATTATTTCAAACAAATTACTTTCGGAAAAAAATAAGGGTTTCATATAATCTGGAGAAAGTTATTTATAAAACGTAATTACGAGGATGTCTTAAAGGTGACGGCGACGTTGAAACTTTCCTCATCCTATCATCATTTTATAACTTTATCATTCTTTTTCAACTCATTCATCTATCATAGTATCATTATTGCTATATAAAGTCATCATATTTGCGTGACTTCAATACTTTTTCGTAACTTATGACATTTAAAATTGCTGATAACACTATTTTTATGAGCCTTTGAATCTATTGCAACCGCAAAATTAGTAACATTGTAGAATATATTAATAACAAATTTGTAACCGCACCACAAACAGCCGTCATGAGAAAAATGGACACATCGGTGGGACTGTCTTCAATAGCGACCTTATCTTTGGGTCTGTCCATGTCCATGGCAGGTGCAGGGCGCGTGGTCATCAGGTCCCTGCAGAACCCCAACATACACAACGGCATGACGGATAGAAGGCAGTCCTCTCTCCAACAATTCTTCACAAAGATACCGGTCATGTTGGAACCACCTACTAACAACTTAAACAGCCTGGCCGCATCATCTGCTCCTTGCGAAACTGAAAATAAAACGAAGGGTAGAAAAGAAGTGAAAAATTCAGACGAAGCAGTGTTAGTTTTTTTCTTCAATTTCTTATTTTGGTTCATCTTTTCTGGTACACTCATTTTAATTATTTTAAAATTGTTATCAAACACTTTGTTATTGTGTCAATTTTCTAGCCAAGTTGTTGATCGTTTATAACAAATAATTATAATGCTAAGGTGTTATAAAACGACAACCTTAAATTCCCTCCCAGCTCAATTTCTAACTTTTATAAATTGTTATAAAAACTTTTATAGAACATAAAATGAAATAAATAATTAATTAATTATTTGTAAAATTAAAAGCACTCAACAAATGACGTTGAAAAAAAATTTTTTTTTTCAAAATTTCATGTAACCTTCGACGTACTGAAAACATGTGTACAGAAATATTAACAAAATTAAAACTGTTAGGGTGTTACATTTTTCCTGTGCTAACTTACGGCTCTAAGTCCTGGACAATTTCTGAAGAAATGAGAAAAAAAGATTAACGCTGCTGAGATGTGGTTTTTGAGAAGAATTATGAAAATTATTTAGACCTCTCATACTTCGGATGTATTAAAAGAGTCCAGTTATGAAAGAGGAAATTACCACAGATAATCCGACAGGGGCAGTTAAAGTTTTTTGGTCACACCATGCGGAAAGAAAGAATGGAAAATCAAACAACTACTGGAAAAAGATCGCTATCAACAACGAATAACTTTTGTGAAGTCCTTGGTTCACTTGTTGAATATTATCACATTTCAACTGTTACAAAGTGCTAAAGATCGGGTTTTGTGGAAGTCGATGGTCGCCAATGTCCTGAAAGAATAAGGCACGAGAAAGAAAAAAGATGTACAGGAAGATGATTGACAACAGAAACGTGCGAAGAGAAACAAAAATGAAGAGGAGAACTTTTGAGCAAAAATGTTAAGACTTAATATGCGCAAAAAAATCACATTTCGAATTTAATTACTGCTTAACGACGCGACGTTGAGAAAGATTATGTGCTTCTCTTTTCATAAAATGGAATTGAATGGAAAGTGTTTTTTAAAAAGCTTCGTTTTTTTAATATGTTTAACAAATGGTTGAAAATAATTTCATTCCAGGATAGGAAATTCGTTTCAATATTTAATTAACGTGGCCCAATCTCTAGTTTTTAAAATAACAATGATAAAAATCGTGCCAAAAATATTTCTCGTAATTATTTCCAAGCATGCCGTGGTAATTGGAAATTCAAAACCACGTTCGACAGTGAATGGAGAAGAAAATATTTCTTCAAAACTCAATGCATACTTTTATTTATTTTACGCGATATTCAAGCACAAGCAAACAAACTTTGCAAGAAAAATTTTGTTCAAGTGCAAGAATACAACGAGGTCAGATATTAATAAAACTATTATTATTTTTGTTTGTCCGTTGATTGCGTTTGCATTTTGCATTATAGACTACTCGAAAAAAAATTGAGCCAAAAAAAACAAAAAATTTAACTGTTCTTTTGTAGTATTTCTCATTGCTAAATTTATTATTTTATTGGGCTTAACTGGATAAATAAATATAGAAAACAAATAGAAGTTCAAAATATATATTCAGAACGTTCTCGAAAGCCAGAATTTGAACAGCTGTCAATCAAAATTTAAAAACCATGCAGAATAAATTATAGGCGAATTTTCAAATAAAACTTTGTAATTTGAACCATAGATAGATATTCCTTACTGTACTATTATGTGATAATCTTTCTTGATAAAATCAAAAGATCACTCGTTGACATTTTCCATCTCGTTCAAATTAACGCTTCGTTGATCATTTAAGAAACCGATTTGAATTGAAATACGTTGTCTATCAATCTCATTTTTAAAAATATTTTGTCAAATTCACAAAAAAAGGAAACGTTCTCAGAGCTACAAAGAACTTCAACGACATACCAACCAGCACTGTCAACTTAACAGCAGCATCCACCACTACGACAAACACTTGCACAACCATTCCAAACTATCAGATTCGAAGACTGCAACGACTTCATCATCCTCCAGAGAGCAGTCTCCTGCTCCGTTCACCAGAGCTTCAAGTCTCGACAGTCACATGTTGAAAGTAGTGGCGCAGTGTTACACCAAGGATGATGACGACCGGTATGCAGACCAACATTTAATCCGCGGTCATAATCGGTCGACAAATGGACAGTACTCTGATGTTATTACGGCCTTGAAGGAGGGAATAGATGGAAAACTGATAGAGACGGTTTTGAAAGAGGAAGATGAACAGGATCGAACGCAGTCTCCGCACAGAAGAAATTCGTTATTTGTAACGAGTTCATCAAATAAAGTCGGAGGAAAACCTCAGTTATCAAGTCAGTTGTATTTGGTAAATTTAAATTTTTGTTAGTTTTAGTAATTTTTTCGACTAAAGTTAACTTTAATGAACAATTTACTTAACAACAATGAACTAGGGGCCAATACAGATGAAAGCAATAATTTTATAGCCATTCCAGACGTCATAATACACGCAGCCGAAGCCTGGGCCGCTAGTGACTGCTCGGATTCCGGTGGCAACGACACAAACGAAGTCCACAAAAAACAATTAGCAAGTTCTGGAAATCCACCATCAGAAAGTATGTCACTGCCCCAGTTAGCACTGAGAAATAGCTTGGATAATTCGACTTCACTGTTTCACGATTACTTTCTCAACATCAAAAGCGAAATCAGTTCGGCTTGCAGTTCAGACTCTAAATGTTCATTTACTTTAGGTAATAATAACAAGACTTTATGTGATAACAGTAAAGAGAGTATCGCCATTTGTAGAAACGACAATAAAACCCAAAACTATGAAGAAACAAACAAAACCGACAATAATGTTAAAAACACTAGAAATATATATCAAGCCTCCACTCAAACAGTCAAATCTTTAAAATATGCCATTCCGGCAAAGCTCCCTTCCTTCACATCGTCACTGCTGCCCACCGTCAACAACAACCATCTGACTTCTACGTCAAACACTCTCATGAATAAAGTCTTAAAAAATGAACAAGCTGCCGATGAATCACCGTCTACAAGTGATTGTAACAAGTTGACCGTGCGAACGGTAGAAAAAATGACGAGTGATTTAGAAATCTACAATTTTCCGGTGAGCATTGTCTCTGAGGAAAATAAAGTTTCAAAACCAGTGAAAAATTTTTCAGCAGCTTTCTATCCGTCCGAATTTTTTCAACCAACATTACAACGCAATTTCCACCAGAAACATCATCATCATCAATATTACAATCATAAAGATCAGTGCTTCCAACAAGGTAAGCGTGATCAAATGATTATGCAATTCGATCGAAGTCCTGGTTTCAGAAGAAGGGTCTCAATGGATATATGTCAGACATCTTCCAGAGGTTCCGCTCCTAAAAATTACAACAAAAATTACACTTTCAATATTTCCAAAGATAAAGCTAAAGATATCTCGCAAGAAAAATTTGTGACAGGTGATGATGAAATGCAGCCAAAAAAAATGTTTTTGTCGGATGAAGCTAAGTGTTCTGAAACGGTGAAAGAAGTAGAAGAAATACCGTTACGATCGATACATCCGACTATTCATTCTGAAACTTACCTAGCGACAGTTTTAAACCAGGGATTTGATTCTGAATATGCGCAACCTTTCAACACTTCATCTAGTAAAAAAATTTCAAAAGTTGACAAAAACACTATGACGCAATTTCAAAGTACTTTGGATCACTTTTTGTCAAACAAAGATCCCAAAAAAGTCAAACGTTCATATAAGCACCACAAACACCCCTGCTCCGTTAAATTAAAAACCAAACCAAAACGTGCACACGTTGACAGAACGAATCATGATGATTTGAAGCAAAGCGAATATCAATCAACTAAGCATGATGACGATGATTCCACCTTGTGCCGCAGAAATGACACCGATAGAAGAAGAGCGCACAAATTTGATGCAAGATACAGCAATTCAAAAAGTCAGGATTTTTTGTCCTCTTCGCCGACCAGCGTTGGATCTGAAGTTTTCTTGCTACCGAGGGAAAGCAAAAGAAGGCGGAGTCTGCACATGCCATTCAAAATGTCTGCTGTGAGAGCGACTCGTGTTAGTAATTTCGTTTTGTTTATTGAATAAATTTTATACCAATCCTCACGTTCCATTAGGTTCCATGTAAATAACTTGTTACTGCAACTTTAACGTGATCAAACGTTATTCACAAATGTTTTATATAAATATTTTGACGCGTAACCTTGATAAAATAATGTTCAAATTGCAGGTAAATCAAAACGAGAGTGAAAAAACGTGATGAAACTCATCTTCTTTTTAGACAAATTTTAAATTCAGTTCAACAAATATTGGTGAATGATAACAAAAAAATGTTGAAATGACTTGTTATGATATATATATATATATATATATATATATATATATATATCATTTTTATTCAACTGTTATATATATATATATATATATATATATATATATCATTTTTATTCAACTGTTAAATTTTCGATAATGCTTGAATTTATTTATAGCTAGAAAATCCTAAATTTCTTTCCGTTAACTATGATCTCATCGTTCCTCCAGTTGTTTGCACTTGATACATTTTTCCACTGATATGAAAGGAACTAGTACTTGGACCTCACGCCATTTTTTATTTTTTTTACGAAGTAGAAACTTATATAACGAGCACACACATATTTTAGGGCATAATAAATATATCAAATCTTGTATGCAGTAGAGATTTTAAATCTATAATATTTTATTTCACAGGCAATAACTTTGTAGGATCTTGGAGTAGTATCTTTGTACATATCTAAATATATCTATCTGAATATATTTATACATTAGGTATCTTTGAACGCTTAGCAATCAGAAACCATTCATTTATTCATTCATTTATCTATTCATTCTTCCATTCATTCACTCGCTCACTCAATCAAATTTCCATTAATTCGCCGTCACGCTAGGCACTTTACACGTCCACAATATTAGTCTTAATCGTTAACATTGTTGCAATATGCAAAGTTTTAACACATGGTTGCTTAAACATTGTTATCATATTTTATAGAGATTTTAAAGATTTAATAATGCTAAAAATTGTTAAACTACTTTTCGAAACTTGTTTATTTACAAGTTATATTTAATTCGAAGTTATAATAATTTGTCTGAGAAAGTAGTTCTGGTGAGTTAGCATCCAATGGAAAATGTTATTTATTTAAATATATTAACATAACATTATTTTATTTCAAATAACTTTTTATTGTTATTTATGTAAAGACGGAGCCTTGCCATAAGCTGACGTTTTAAGTTGCCTATTTTATATGAACAAAATAATTTCTCCTTTTTTTACTATTTGTTGAAAATAATAGATTTAATTTGCATTCAATATAATATGTCAGACTGAATGAATTGTTTGTATCTTTTATATACCTTCAAACTATCAAAACGTTGAAATAGGAAAATCTCACAACGCCATCGTCAATTTATTCAGCCATCAAAAATAAAATATTTGCAATATGATTTCTCCACCTTGGAAGCCTTTGCATTAATTTTATTGTATTTTAGCCATTGTGAATGGATGGATATCCTTCTGCTCGGCTTCCAGTTATCCAGTTTTTATCACGAGAAAAATACAATAGGGCAGTGATAGTATAAAATATCATGCTTACGATATTTATGATTAAGTTTTAAATAGAATTGTTGACTTTTAAATTTTTATGTTGAAAACTTCAATTTCACATTATATTCTACTGAGAAAATCATCAATGGCTTAGTGACATGAATGTATTTCTACCAACGTTTAGTTCATTTACTACTATAATATCATTTCATTTATTACTTATTCATTTAGTTATGGCACGGTATAATACATTATGAAGATTATGAAAGCATAAAAGTTAAGATTAATGAACCGATTGTACCAAATTTGAAGTTGGCTATTTGGAATCAGTTTTTGAGATTATGCTAAAACGCCTTACAAAATAATCCAATAAGAAAAGAGAAGAACAAGAGAAGATTTGATTCAGGCATAAAAAATCATCACTATGAGGGAGAATTTGGAATCAGCAAAATTTTTTGAGCTTAAGATGAATAGTAAAACATAAATATAAGATCTTTTAAAAAAGCTCGGGATCGATAAGTCAAAATTTTTTCAGCTGCAGAGTTATCACGAGTGTAACAAACTGGAAGGCATGAATATATTTCAAGTAATTTTGATTACTATAATTTCATGCTGGAAGATGAAATAACATGCGCAGAAACAATAAATATTTTTAAAACAAATTTGGCAAAAGTAGGATATTAAAAAATGTTTCAGAGTGGTCTTGTGTCAGACTTAGTCTTCTTAGATCACTATAAAAAAAATCTTTGTGTTATGTTGCTTTATGATAAGAATAATAATGCATTATAACAATTAAAATAATATGTAATATCACACAATATATGTAGTTTCATATAATGTCATATTTATTATGAAATAATCACGTAGAATAATATAAATAATTTATATTTTTTGGTTAATGACGTAGCTTATGACGTAGGGAACCAAGAACACTGTATATATTAAAACACTGTCTCTTCTTTCTTGTCCAACTTCATTTACGCGGTCATGTTTTTTTGCTCGTTTTTTTAGTTTTGTGGTGTTGAAAAATGTTTTGCAAATTATCAAATTCATCTAATTTTATTATAATTTATTTATTAATGTTTCTTTTCAATGGATGTTCATCGGACGTGATCAGCCAAGATGATGACGGCATGTCAGGTTTGTCTTGTTTTTAAAATTGAAATTCCAATTTTAATTTTAATTTGAATAGAATTTGTTGACCAACCTGAGGTCTCGTAAAAGAGAACTGAAAAAATTAACTAACCAACTAAATCAGTAAAATTTAGAGAGTATATGAAAAAAACTAAAATAATATAATATAATTTTGGCCTTTTGGGTCTCTGGATGCAAAATGAAGATTGATTGAATTATATTTGAAATTTTTTAGTGAATATTTAAATAATTGAACAGTATTTGTAGCATGCATATGTTTTTTGACTGAAATTGGTCAACTAATACTCTTCTAATGAATCTAATTCTAATAGTATATAATTTTATAATGATAATGATAATCATTATGATTATATATTAGTAATATAAAATAAAGCCTATTTATATTAATGGTATAATTTATATTATATTATTATATTATAATATAACATTACATTATATTATATTATAACGTCTAATTTAATCAATCTCTCTAATGATAATGTATATTATATTAGATATCTTATTATATTATATTTTATCTCTGAATCACTAAACGATGAGAATGTATGATAACTAACTAAGCTAAGTATTATTTTTTATCATAGCATTCCAGTTCATACTTTTAATATAAAATTATGAATTGAAAAATTATGAAAGGCCTTGTTAGTTAACAACATGTTTACAGCATATTTTTTTTATTTGCAGGCACCATCCAGTTTGGCGGACCCCAGGACATGAATGATGAAATGATGAATAGTCCATTTGTACCCGATGAGTTACAATGCGATGCATGCATTGCTGTTTCTTACAAGGTCTTTTTTTCATTTCTTGTAACTTGAACATGTTTTTAAAAAGCATCGCTATGTTTGTTAAGTTCCTAAGTATTATGAAGGAAGGATTTTAATAGTTTTTTAATATGATTAATTTATTTTTAGAATTAAAAAATGATTTTGTTTTTCATTTAAAAGCAGCATGGAGAAACATGCCAATGATGATAATTAAAAAAGTGTTATGATAAATTATATGATAGCTATGGGAAGGGTTAAACGAATACAACAAGAAGCACCCATCATTAAAGAACGAACTTTCAGAATCCACACTGATCGATCTTATGGATGAGGTCTGCTCCGATCAGGAAGTTTGGAAGCAGTTAGTCATCTATCTGTCGTGTTTCTTCAGTACCCTCTGTAGTTTCTGTTCAGTTTTTTCATGTTTGCCCAAAATTTTCCATGCTTATTCATCATTATTTATCCTATTTGTTCATTTTCCCTATTTTGTCATCATAATCATTCTCAACTTTCTCATAGCTTTTTATATTCATGTACATTGTTAGAGTTAATTTTATAACATCATCAGCTATTTTATTGAGATATTTATTGGTAAAAACGAATTTATTAAATAATTTATTTTAACACATGGTTTAATACTTAATATATATATATATATATATATATATATATATATATATATATATATATATATATATATATTCATTTATTTATTATTTATCAAAATATATACTATTCCATAACATCGACTTAGATATGGTATGAAGAAGATTAAAAAAGTGACTCGACTGTCAGGACCAGGCATGGAGACAGAGGAAGTCCCTGGAGTTACTGCCAGCGGAGGCAAGTGGCCTGCGAGGTTTGTGCTGCTGTTTTCAATGGTCCTTCATGTTTTTGTTGAGACGTTTTTCTTGACTTATAACATGAAACTTCTACCTATTCATTTGATGAATGTTGGATACATCTAAAGATGCAACTAAAATTTTTCTGACTGTTTTTCTCACTATTACAAATTTGAATAACGCTTGTTTGAAATGTTTAATTTCGAAAATGAAACTCGTTTAACAAATTATTTACCCTGTCCAAACGAATGCACAACTTGCAGGCTGCAGGACTTGTGTGAAACAATGATAGGAGACCATGGTGAGGTCACCCTGTACAATGTCTACAAACTTGCACCCACCAAAAAACACTTCCTCAAAAATTTCCTCTGCTATGGCACGAAGAGTCGAGATAAATGCTCCAAACTGGAGGAGAGAAAGTTCAATGAGCACCAACATTCCAAAGAGGATTTATAATTGTCACAAAATTTTAATAAAGTATTGCTTGGAAATGTGTTTTTTTCTTTAAAATAATTTAAAATAATTGACAATTTTAAGATTGAAATACAACTTGTCATCTGATTTGTTTTTTTGTTAATTGTTGTCATTCATGTATATAACTTTATGTTCTTTGATATACGATACTAGATATAGAATATTGATTAGGATGTTGAATATGTATCGAAAGATTGTCTATCCATTCATTTAATTTTTACTCAATCTTTTTTGTTAATGCTGATGTTGTTAATTTCACTGATTAATATAACATACTTTCATGTTTTACTTTAAGATGTTTGTTTCTTGTTGTTAATCCAATTATTACGATGTCGTTATCAATCATATTACCTAATTTTAACTCAATGATTCAGAAAAGTGCACAATATGGTGATGTGGATCTAATTTCAGTTTGTCTTTTTCCGTTTGATATTTGTATAAGTTGTATCGAATATTCTCGTGTATGTTTTACTGCGTGCTAATACGTGTTATACACGTGTGTGAATGTGTTTGTATCATGTGCGCGTGCGTGAGTATATATGCGTACGTGCATGTTTGCGTATCGAAGGAGCAACCATGAATTTAACATTTTAAATGTCTGAAATAAATTAGTCAGTCTAGTCACACGTTCGAAAACCATAGGTATAGAATAGTATTTTCTATATCTATTGTTTTCTGCAATCATGATTTTGGAACTACGTCAATTATCCTTTACGTTTCTTTGAAGTTTATTTATCTTTATGTATCGTCTTCACAGTTTAGTTGTTTTAAGGCTTGTGTAGTACGTGTTTGGCCAGTTTTATACTTACTGTCCTCTATGAAATCTATCTTACGTAATTCACGTTCAGATGTGTTCAATTTGTTTTATCATTTTATTTCATTCGAATATATTCGAGTTTTATCATTTATTTTTGTATTTTGAATAATTATATTACTTATTTTATCATTGTTCTATTTTGTTAACTCCAATATAACAAATCTGTTACATAGATGACGTTTCATTTGTTTCAAAGTGATGTCAATTAAAATTGTCAGCATTTTATATTTTAGATCACTTCAGATTTTCGCCAACGTAGTTTTATGTTTGTCCTATGAAAAAATAAATAAATTTATTAATTTCAATCAAATCACGTTAAGATTAAGCTGCCTGATGTGTAGCATGACTTGTCTGACTACTTACTACCTACATGCTTTTCGAAATAAAGTTTCTCCATGTTTGCAATGCAACTTTGTTAATCCTCTTTTATATGTGAATCAAATCACATTTTTATCTATCGAATTATTTACATCAGTTATTTTAAAGAATAAAGCTGAAACTAAATAACGTTTTGTGTTGGTTCATTTAAGAGATAAATGTACCTTCTCTCATGGTAGAGTTTTATATACATATATACAGAGAGAACAACTAAATTGAAATCTTATCTATTCGCGTGTATATATAATGTTATATATAATGTTATATATATTTATTTATATGTATATATATATATATATGCGGCCCTTCAAAAGTAAGAGCTTTCAATAAATCCCTCCCGGCAAGAAGTTTGCCTGTCTTACTATGGGTTTTCATTGCAGTCAATGTAATACATATCATTGTGTATATATACGTGTATAGTACATAGATACGTGATCTTATGAGCCCTATGATATGAATCTTGTGGTCTTATTTCATATATAATATGGTCCTTGGTAATTATGGCAAAAACAAAATCAGCAATACTGATTGATTGAACATCACTAGCTATTACATTCCTCTTTCAGATTTACATCCACTTTTAGTGGTTGATCAGTTGTTTTGGGAAAAAAAACAAAAATGGTCAAACAGATAATTTTTTAGTTGTTGTAATGAATAAATAGGTAAATAAATAGGCTAAACTTGAGTTTCAGACCTACGTTGTTAATTTAAATAATAATAAATTTAATTTAAATTAAAATAATTTAATTAATTTAATTAAAAATGTCTTCTACAACAACTTCTACACCATTGTTGTTGTGGCTGCTTATTTTGGTTGTCATTCAAATGCTCCAGCTCCTACAACTTGGTGCTACTAATGTCCAAGAATCTGATGACACTGATCAACTGGTTCTCACTCATATTGTTAGCTTTTTTAATTTATTATTACTGAATATTACAATTAAAATTAATAATAGCAGTGACAACTCATTACTATTAAATTAATTACTAACTTTGTCATTATTTATCTTTTTTTGATGATTTCATTTGATCTTTGAAGACAATCCTGTCAATATGATATTTCTAGTAGATATAGTAGATATCAAAGAATTACTAAAACCTCAAACACTAGTAAATCTGATTATCATTTTTTCAAAATATATAATTAAATTAAATATACTGGATATTTCATATAATATTATGTTATAATAGTTGAAATTAAATGAACAACTATTGCCACAAGGTCTATCGACATGGGGATAGGAGCCCTATTAAAACATACCCCACAGACCCGTACGGGGAGTCCATCTGGCCACAAGGATTCAGCCAACTGACCAATGTTTGTCTTTTGTGTTATTTAATTATTTCTATGGTGTTTGTTCATTTTTATACACGCTTGTTGTTTGTTAATTAAAAAGACTGTTTCTATTTGATTTATATTTTTAATTTTAAAAATAAATAAAAAATGTATTATATTGAAGAGATATTTGTACCTATATATAAGTGTACAACTTATATTATGTATGTGTAGATATACACTAAAAATTGCAGTTAATAATGCTGCTACCTAGTCTAGTTCTGTTAGGTAAGTGAGCCAGTGGGCTCTGTGGTTTTTTTCTTAGGTTTTAGTTTATATTTACAACATCAGCTCAGAAATTGCATTTGGTTAATTTGAAAGTTTTACGATGTAAATGTTGTTTCCTAATATAGAATAGATTAGAAAGTATAGAATTAACAATGGAAGGTTATCTTCTTGAGAGAAATGTTAAATGTTCATATAATATTCATATGCCGTGAGTTATTCATCTTCTTTTTGAATGAACACTGATGTTTTCCTGTGGCCTCAACTCCAAAGTTTTTCCAACAAAAAATAATAAAAGATAGTTATGTTTTTTTGTTTGTTTAATTTTAATTTTTTTATTTGTAATTTAAAGATTCAATCTTTTATTTATGAATGGCAAATGATTAGTTTCGCTTCATAAATAAAATTTTTTATTGATTGTTCAACTTTTTGTTCCTATCATTGTACAATTATGTATTTAGCTGGAAGTTGAATGATTTAAAATTTGCTTTGAAAATTTTTTCCATGTTGTGTATCTATGTGTGTGTGAGTGCGTGTGTGTGTGTGCGTGCATGTTTAGGTGTATGTAAGTGCGTGTTTGTCTGTATGTGTGTGTGTGTGTGTTTGTCTGTGTGTGTGTGTGTGTGTGTGTGTGTGTGTGTGTGTGTTCATAGAATTTTAAAGTTAATATCTGTGTTTACTATTACATTTGTGTATATATTCACAGAGTAATTAAATAATAATTGTATACTGTTTATTTGTGTGCAACTGTGTGTACAACAACACCAGTAGTGCTGCCTTGCTGTGGGTTATATATATATATATATATATATATATACATATATAATGTCATGTGATGACGTTGGTGACAAGTATGATGAGTGATGTTTGTCATGGTGATTATGGGGATGAGGGTAAGGGATAATAATGATAAAGTCTCTCTCTGATGATGATGATGAGAATGATGATGATGGTGGTGGTGGTGATGATGATGATAAAGTCTTTGATGATTATGATGATGATGATGATTAGGATGATGAGGAGGATGTTTATGTGCCTAACACATGGGCATCTAAATAATACAATATATACATAAATTATTTAGAAGTCTGTGGCCTAACTGTGTATACTTGCTATTGTTATGGTAAGGATAAGATCGGGAATAATGTTATCCGGTTTATGATTGACATTATCATGCTGAAGTTACAATGATCATGATGATGATGATAGTGTTGAATGTAATTACAATGATGATGATGATGGTGGTGGTGGTGATAATGTGGGTTATTTATTCTATATTAATAATAATAATTTTATTTAATTAGTGCTGATGCAATATTTATTATTATTATTATTGTTGTTGTTGTTATTGTTGTTATTTAAATATAACTTCTTCTTATTTATTGAGACATCAAAAGTTAACAGAAATTAATTTTCAAATTTGTAACTTAATAATATGTTTGTTTGTTTTCTTTTTTTAGTTGTTGCTGAATTTAAATTTAAAAATATAACACACCTTTTTGCCCCTCTCTTTTTTTTTCCCTCTCTTTCTCTCTCTCTCTCTCCTCTCTCTCTCTCTCTCTCTCCTCTCTCTCTCTTTCTCTCACGCACACACTTGCACACACGCAGGCAGGCAAACTGTTGTATTAATTATGATGCTCTGATTTCTGGACAAATGTCCTTTAATTATCTGTCATATTTATATTTTATTAGACATATTTTTTTACATTATTTAATTATAATTATAATTGATTTATATTAATTATAATTATAATTGATTTATATTTATTATAATCAATTTAATTATTTCCTACAGGCAGGTAAGAGGCAGCACTTTGAATTAGGTAAGTTTTTAAGGAGTAGATACATAGATGGTAAACCGTACAGACTATTGAATTCATCCTATAATAGATATGAGGTATGCGTGCGTGTGTGTGTGTGTTTGTGTGTGCGTGTGTGTTGTATGTGTTTATGTGTATGTGTGTACGTGCGTGCGTGTGTGTGTTTGACTATAGTTGTGAGGTGATGACTATGATATATAAAGGCAATGATGATGATGATGAACGCTGGTGAATGCATATATTCATTAATATATACTGTCTGCATATATTAATGAATAGTAGTAATAAACTGGTTGTACACAGAAACTTTTTTCGATAGTTATTGTTTATAATCAATAAAATGTGAAATGTTAAAATGTGAATTGTATTTGTCCTGAAGAGAATTATATTTTTCTACTTTAATGATTGTTTTAGCTATGCAGTGCTAACGTCATGTTCACAAAAAATACATTAAAAATTAATGCTAATAGAAGATAACAAATACCCGAAATACCAGACAGAAATACGCAGCACAGACACAGATCGAACTCTGATGAGTGCGTACTCAAACCTGGCAGGTCTCTACCCACCAGCAGACGGGCAGATCTGGAATGATGAGCTGGCCTGGCAACCCATTCCTGTGCACACAGTTCAGAATAGTCTAGATTATGTATGTGGGCTTGTTTTTTTTTACTTTTTTGGGATGTGATTGTTGTTGCTGTGATTGGTAGGTTTTCTAAATTATTTTCTCTAAAATATTTTTTAATTTTTTTGGTGTAAGGACTCGTTTTTTTTATTCATTCGGTTATCCATCTTTGTTTTTGCATTTTTTTACGTTCATTAGCTGCTCAACATGGAAGTTGATTGTCCAAGTTATGAGAGAATCTACCAGGGCGTCATGCATGGCGATGAGGTGCAGCAAATCATGACGAAGTATAAGGTGGGTGGGTCGTCTTTTCCTATGGTTATATACCTGTTTCTCTGCTAAGTTGTCAACTTTAAAATGACTTTGAAAATGATTTAAAAAGCGGTTTTAAAGTGTTTTATTTAGTGATTTTGAAAAGTAATTTAACTTGGAATTAACCTAACGACAGGAGTGTTTGAACCAGGCCATTGCATAATAGCGCCGCAAGACATAGCATTTCTACTGACTAAGCTAGCTTGCTGATTATTAAAATAATTTTGTTCATTTTTGAATAACTCAACCAGCAATTTGTGACTTTCAAATCTTCCAGAATTTTTTCGACTTTGTGAAGGAGAAATCGGGAAAGCAGGATGTTGACATGAGCAACCTGTGGGAAATAAGTGATGCATTGAGGTGTCAGGTATGTTGTTTTCATCGGTTGTTATGTACGTGGTGTATGTGTGCGTGTTTGTGCGTGTGTGTGTGCATGTGTGTACGTGCGTGTATGTGTGCGTGTATGTGTGTGTATGTGCTGTGCGTGTATGCGTGTATGTATGGTTTTTACACTTCTACTATACATTTTTAATAACTATTTTGTGTGTTATATGCATTGTGTTTAATTGTTCTAAATATGCTATGTATAAACTTGATGATGGTAATGTATAGCTTATATGTATATAAAATGCATGTTTATTTGTTGGCAGTGAATATTTAGATGCAGTATGTAGTTACGTGATATAAAGATCTGTACTTGGTTTGATTTGCAATGACAAATGTTATATGCCTGGTTCACAATTCCAGTTGCACTTAGTACCAAATAAATCATCAAATTATTATTACTATGGAGATGGTTCAGGTATTAATGAATGAAGTTTTGCTTATTGTCTACAGAACATCCACAATTTCACGATACCAAGCTGGGCCCACGAGAAAGTTGATGGTGAGGATGTATTTGAGACTATGATGTTTCTCAACGGTCCTTCATTTGCCCTACAGTACAATAGAGATGATGAGGCTAGGTTGAAAGGAGGTGCGTTGGTCGGTCGGTCGGTTGGTTGGTTGGTCGGTCGGTCGGTTGGTCGGTCGGTCGGTCGGTTGGTCGGTCGGTCGGTCGGTTGGTCGGTCGGTCGGTCGGTTGGTTGGTTGGGGTGGTTACTATTGGCGGCTGGTTTTTATATTTTGTGGTTAATTTCAAATAAGTTGTTATTTACTCTTATTTGTTTTCACTGATCAACCAATCATTCAATCAATCATTCAATCAATCAGTTAATTATTTTTGTTCAATATTAGGTCCTTTATTGAAGAAAATGTTGAATGACACAAAGAATAAGATTGAAGGCACTGCTGAAGAGATGAAATTAAAATCTTTTATATATTCTGCTGTGAGAAGATCAATTCATTTATTAATATTACTCTTTTTGAATAATTAATTTTATTAGTTTATTCATTTTTTTTAATTTTTCTTAGTTGAAATTAACTGCTCCGATCTTTAAATTTATTATAATTTATTCATTAATAAAGCACGATGATACATTGGCAGCCTTGATGGGCACCATGAATATTTATGACGAATTAACTCCTCCCTATGCATCCTGCCTATTGGTTGAGATATTTAAAAAGAACGAGAATAAAAACAAAAGCAACCAATACGATGATTACTACGTGAAGGTTTCTTACAGGAATGATACCAGTGTAGATCCGTACATCTTGAAATTACCTGGTTGGTTGGTTGGTTGAATGGTTGGATGATTAGTTGGTTGGTTGATTGGTTGGTTGGATGATTGGTTGGTTGGATTGTTGGTTGAATGATTGGTTGGATGGTTGGTAGGATGATTGATTGATTGGTTGGTTGGTTGGTTTGTCGATCTGTTGGTTTGTCGGTTGGTTAGTCGGACAGTCGGTTAGTTAGTTGCTCTCGAGATTATGTTTCCACGCTCAGAAAATGGTGGATAGCGATAAGGCAGACGATAATTTAGATGATGACGCTGACGATAAACAATGAAATATCTTTTCATAGAGTGTCCAGTAAATTGTCCGCTTCTCCAGTTCATTAAAGTGACCAAGAAGAACGTTCCAGATGATTGGAAGGCTGAATGCATCAAAAGTAAAATTCCAGTCATTTGTTCATTTTTTTTATTTTTACATTTTGTTTATTTATTTTTACATTTTATTTATTTATTCATTCATAATGTTATTCATTCATTCATTCGTTCATTCATTCATTCACTTATTTATTTTTGTTTATTCGTTGAGTCAGTCATGTTTCAGTCAATCGAATAATCATTCATTTTTGTTATTTATTAATTAATCGTTCATTATTTCAAATTTATTCAAATAAACTTCCCACAATGTTTTGTCTCTTATTTGTTATATTTACTTTAACAAGAATCAATCAAAATATCATTTGACTAATCTATCAATCATTCAATCAATTAATCAGTCAATCATAATCAACCAATTGTTTAACTAAAAAATCGAGATCTAAAAATACCTTACACCAATAAACTAATCAACCTTTAATCAAACAACTAACCAACCAACCGGCCAATCATCCAACCACGTGTATAACACCAACCACTTATCCACCGACAACACACGCACACATACATACTAAACACACATGCACATACACACACACACACACACACACACACAGCGATGAACACAGAAGCCGAGTTAGCACTGGTCATCATAGTTCTTCTTGTGTGTTTCATCTTCATCATTGGCACCATCATCATTTTTGTCAGGGCGAGGAAGCGTTCGTCATTCATTCCGCTTGAATGAGTACTTTAAAAGTGACCTATCAATATTTAATCCATTGTTTGAGTAATTCATGAAAGCTTATTCAATTATACAGAGATCGTCTAATCTACTTTAGATGTATGTATATATTGGTATATTGTATGTATGCGTGTACTTTATGTACATTCATATTGTATTCATATTGTGTCATATATAAGATTGTTTTATGTCGTTTATGCCGACAACATAAATATAAATATATATATATGTGTGTGTGTGTGTGTGTGTGTGTGTGTGTGTGTGTGTGTGTGTGTTGTGTGTGTGTATACATGCACATTTTATTGTGATTAGTTTTGATGAATGTCTCGAATGAAGCGCGCGTTACGGGATTCATTCTCATAAACTTTTTATTGTGTGTGCGGTTATGTTGTTTTAATCGTTAGATTGGCATGATTTTGAGTTGAGATATGGCTGGTTCGATCGATCGCAATTGGCATGTAAAAGTCTTCTCCGCTTGTTATTTTTTTTAATTTCAATATTTTACATCAGTATCTATCGAGGCAGACAGGATCAATCTGTTGGTGTCTGAAATTATTCTAAACTTATCGCCAGGGTGTTAATTTTTTATCTGTTTTATCTAAAATTTCCAAGTTTAAATCATTATTGCCGATAATTTGCAATTATTCATTTAACGAACATATTCGCAATAATTTTAATCGTTTTCATCTTAATTATTCTTTCTGTAATGGTTTAAGATATTTAGCAATGTGGTGGGTTGATTAACTGTATGAACAGTTAGTTAGTTGTGTGCCTCCAGTGAACACTCACGTAGTTCATCGCTAAATTTAACAAAATTAATTTCTGCGTTTGTTTTTCCATCTAAATTTTTACTTTTAATTTCAAGTCAGGATTTGAAATGTGGTTGTGCCAAGAGTATTGCATTTTTTGCTACTTTATGAATATTTTTTTAAGCTCATTTATATCTTTGTGGCCAAATTTTTACCGATATTTGGATTCACGTGTTTTTTAAACAAAAATTTTCTTGATTGAACATAAATAGGTCTAACAGTGAGACACTGCTATATGTTTCCAATTTAATTGGTTTTAATTTATATTATTTTTAATAGTTTGCTCACCCTATTTTCTTAGTTCTTAATTTATTTGCCAAATTGTATTTTATGTATTCTTGTATTATCTCTAACATTTTATTATTATTGGAACTTTCAAGATATTTTAATATAATCGCGTTAGTTCTTATGTTATGAAATTGAAAAAAAAATGAAGAAATTATGTCGAAAAAATTTTTTGTGGTTTATTTCAATAGTGAAAAACATGTGAAGCCTGGATAAAAGCGATAGATTTGTTAGAATAAAAACTGGCGCGGCTACCACTGTTGCTGATGGTAAATAACGTTGAAATCACTGGCGGATTGATAGTCCATTGATTGGGCTACAATATGACAAAAAGATCCCCAAAGACAGAATGGTTGCTAAAAGTCAACAATCAACAGCTCTCAAAGCAACTGACAACATTTGTAGAACATAGAGGAAGAGAGAGAGAGAGAGAGAGAGAAAGTATTATAAACCGTGGTTAACATGTAAAATTTAATTATGACTGGGTTTCAATACGAAATTTTTTTTATTATGGTTGTTCACGAATAAATATTAATTTAATAACTGAAGATACTGTATAAAAATTTTCCAGCTTCAACAACAAAGATTCCATTTTAAATAAATTTTCATAATTTATTGAGAAATTTTGAGAGTCGTAGGTACGTTGGTAAATTTATATTTTCTACGAGTCAACTCAATTAAAATTAAAAAAAAACACATTTCATTTAAAAAAAATTTGATTTAACATATTTTGAATCAATTATTCAGGGGACTAGGAAATTAAAAAATTATTCGGTATGCAAAAAATATGAGTTTCTAACAATAAGTTATTTTTTTTCTTATAGAAAAAACAATTTCAACCACAAAAGATGAATTTAAATTAATAAACTACATCAACTAATTACATAAACTACACAAATTACATTATATAGACGAATTTGATGTGTAAAATAAGATGATCAAAAATTCTCTAAATATGTTGGGGTGATTTTTATTCAGAGCTGTTATCGCGGCAATTGTTATTATTAGTAACGTTGTTGTTGCTGTTATTAATATTATTTGCATTATTATTGTCATCACTATTTGCATTTTTGTTATTGATGTTATTGTAATGAATGACGTGTTTAAATTGTAGTATACTATGAAATATATATATTCTAATTAGAGAGTTTATTGATTTTTCTATTTTATAAATGAACCTTAATAATATTACTTTTTAAATAATTTATTTTAAATGCGTTTATTAATTAATTCATTCATTAACTCATTTATTCGTTTTTTATTCGTCATACATTCATATATTCAATCGTTTTAATAATATTGTTCATAATGATCAGTTGTAGTCTTTTTTGTAAAAATATTTGCATCTTATATTGAAATTTTAATTTTTCGACATATTTCGATTTCTTAAAACATTCAATTTAATGTTTTAAAATGTTCAATTTGAAATACACACTCCTCATTTAGCGAAAGCAACAATGGGTAGCTGGAATGCTGGCTTAATTGTTTTGTATTTGTTTTTTGTTAGCTATACGATACGTTTATATTCAACTGTTTAATATTCTGTTTAGGAATTATGAAAACAGAGATAAAGAAAAATTTTTTTATTGTTGAATAAACGATCAACTATAACATGAAGAAATGTCACAATTTAATCTGAAATCATTATGTTCAGAAGTGTTTTTCAACAAATATCAGGCATTTACGCAGGTGTAAGCCACTGTACTCCAGACAGTTCCAGGAGCACATGGCATTACGAAACAACCTCCCCACTCATCACATTGAACAAAATTGGAGTTGCTGGCATCATTAGCAAAGTAGTACTGGCCACGATCTCTGAAGTATTGAGTGCATGGTTGGTTGATGCTGCAGTTGTACTTGCCAAGATCTCGAACAAACCTCGTAGTTGTTGTAGTAGGTTTAGTCGTAGTTAGCAGGCCATTGGAGTTCCCTGTTAATAACAGAATAGTTTTATTCCTAATCAAAATTTATAAATAGATATAAATTTTCTCATTTTTTACAAAACATGCATACATTCAATGTTCAAGGAAAGTATTTTTTCGTATGAAATTTTATGAAGAGTACAAAATTATATCAATTGTAAACGGTAATCTCACCTTGGATGCAGGTGTAGGCCCTAGTACTCCAGACAGTTCCAGGAGCACATGGCATGTGGAAACAACCTCCCCACTGATCACATTGAACAAATGTAGAGTTGCTGGCATCATAGGCAAAGTAGTACTGACCACGGTCTCTAAAGTATTGAGTGCATGGCGGATTGTAGACGCAGTTGAACTTATTTTCATCCCAAGAATATCCTTTACGAAATATAAAATAGTTTGACATCATGAGCATTTTATTTTAATGTAAAGACACCTATAAAGACATATTTGTTAGGTTATTTTTCTTGCATGCAATGCTTTAGATGGCTATAGACCGATATAATTCCGCACATTTGTATTAAGACATACTGCACTCGTTGAGTTGTTAAAAATTTACACATTTCACCATAATTACTAGTATAAACAAGACAAAAATAAAAGTTTGATCACTTATAATTTTAAGCAAGCAACAGACACAACATTGTAATAACTCACCATTTTGGGCGAAGCACAGAGCTACGACAAGCACGATTGCATTCAATTTCGCTGCCATTTTTCTACCTTAGTTGGAAAAATAAATTTAACAAACTACCTTTTAGTAATAAAAGTGAATCATTTTGATACATGAAACAAAATATTTTTCAACATTCACTTTTAAATAATTAATTTAAGAGTTTTAAAAATGCCTTCTAACAAAATAAAGTAATTTATATGATGAAAGAAAAATAATTTAACCTTCCAGTCTGTAAGATGAGAACAGTACAGATGTTAACTGTAGTTGGAACTCTGTCAGCAGATAACTCACAATCAGCATGGTTTCGGTTTATATAGAACTGTTGAACAACTGAAAAAAGTTGGAGGGAAAACCCTGACGGTGTGATGGCGCAATCATTCAATAGTAAGAATCGTCAGGGGCTTTTTGACTTCTCGGTTAATTTTCAAGCGTAATTTTGAATTTAAATTTATTTAAGAACTTTGGAAAAACGCCGCATTAATATGGTATATTTGAATATGTTTTTATATAACGGCTTTCAAGTTTATCATATATACTTGTCTGATCTCTTTGTGATGATATAAATTATATATACATATATATTAGATATATATTATTTATATGTGTGAATGTATGTGTGGGATTGGTGTGTGTGTGTGCGTGCGTTTTTGTGTGTGTGTGCGTATTTGTGTGTGTATTATTTGCTACACACACACATACACACACACATATATATATGTATATACATACAAATGTCTAACATATAGCGGGTCAAGTGTAATATAAAAACTAATATCATATAATTTAACATATTATTATTATAAATGGGACATATTTGTTAGGGAATCTTTATAAGGTATTTGGCGAGCGGTGATCTCACAATTTCGTCACTTTTTTAGTCATCTGTTGAAGTCACATAGTTTCACAACAGGTTTTTACGTTTGAAAATGTTTTTAATATTAACAACTTTGCTTATTATTTAATTTAAAGAACAAACGCAGAAATGCAGTAAAGAGAGGTATCTTAATGTTTTTGATATTTCAAAAAATTTTAGAAGCCGATAGAATGAAATAATGGAAAATTCTGAATTTTAATATGCATTGGAGTATATTTGAGGGGATAGTAACTTAAATTTTGAGGGTAAATCTTGTTTGAAATTTTTTAAAAGTAACCCACGCTTCATACATTTCAAAATAAATTGTAAATAATTATATAACTATATACATATAGAGTATGTAAATTTATATATATATATATATATATTTATATATATATTTATATATATATATATATGTAAATGTTGGTAATAGACCATAATTTTTACAATATTCTATAAATTCTACCGAATGTTTAGCGTTAATATGTTTGTAGTTCGTTTTTTTACAATATTCTATAAATTCTACCGAATGTTTAGCGTTAATATGTTTTACAATATTCTATAAATTTTACCGAATGTTTAGCGTTAATATGTGAGAAACTTTAGTGAGAAAAATCGAAAAAACGAACTTCAAACATATTAACGCTAAACATTCGGTAGAATTTATAGAATATTGTAAAAATATATATATGTATGTATGTATGTATATATATATATATATATATTCAGATGGGGATGGCGGGAATTACAGTAAATCAGTAAATCTACAGTTGTTGTCCATGATTTTTCTTGTAGTTTCAAAATTATGTGTGTGTTCTAGGTGTGTTGCATTGAACCTTCCTTTTTCTACATTATCAGTCAATGGTGCCCTACTCTGAACACCTAACCCGTCCTAGACTAGACGCGTTTCGTGCCTAATGGGACTCATACATGCCACATACACACACACACACAGCGATGAACACAGAAGCCGAGTTAGCACTGGTCATCATAGTTCTTCTTGTGTGTTTCATCTTCATCATTGGCACCATCATCATTTTCATCAGGGCGAGAAAGAGTTCGTCATTCATTCCGCTTGATTGAGTACTTTAAAAGTGATCTATCAGTATTTAATCCATTGTTTGAGTAATTCATGGAAGCTTATTCATTTATACAGAGATCGTCTAATCTACTTTATATGTATGTATATATTGGTATATTGTATGTATGCGTGTACTTTATATACATTCATATTGTATTCATGTTGTGTCATATATAAGATTGTTTTTTGATTATATATATATATATATATATATATATATATATATATATATATACATACATGCACATTTTATAGTGATTAGTTTTGATGAATGTCTCGAATGGAGCGCGCGTTACCGGATTTAATCTCTTAAACTTTTTATCGTGTGGGCGGTTATGTTGTTATTCATTAGATTGTCATGATTTGGAGTTGAGATATGGCTGGTTCGATCGATCCCAAAAGGCATGTAACAGTCTTTCCCACTTGTTATTTTTTTAAATTTCAAAATCGTAACTCATCAGTATCAAAACTCTCAAACTCACGATTATTTAAAATCGCTTACATAACTTTGTTGCGTGCTGATATGATGTAATCATCTACATAACGGCAAACACGTACGTACATGTCTATCATTGTATAATTCTTACATACAAACCGGACAACGTCAATAAATGTTTCAAAAATTCCCTAAAAATGTTGGGGTGATTTTTATTCAGAGCTGTTATCGCGGCAATTGTTATTATTAGTAACGTTGTTGTTGCTGTTATTAATATTATTTGCATTATTATTGTCATCACTATTTGCATTTTTGTTATTGATGTT